GGATCATGTCGTCTGCAAATAGGGATATTTTGACAGTTTCTTTACCTATTTGTATTCCTTTTATTCCTTCTTCTTGCCTAATTGCTCTGGCTAGGAATTCCAGTACTATGTTGAATAGGAGTGGAGATAGTGGGCATCCTTGTCTGGTTCCTGATTTTAGAGGGAATGGTTTCAGTTTTTCTCCGTTAAGTATAATGCTGGCTGTAGGTTTGTCATATATAGCTTTTATAATGTTGAGGTACTTTCCTTCTATTCCTAGTTTTCTTAGAGCTTTTATCATGAAATGGTGTTGGATCTTATCAAAGGCTTTTTCTGCATCTATTGAGATGATCAAGTGGTTTTTGTCTTTGCTTCAGATAATGTGGTTTATTACGTTTATTGATTTTCATATGTTGAACCACCCCTGCATCCCTGGGATGAAGCCTACTTGGTCGTGGTGAATAATCTTTTTGATGTGTTGTGAATTCGTTTGCCATTATTTTGTTGAGGATTTTTGCATCAATGTTCATTAGGGAGATTGGCCTATAGTTCTCCTTTTTGGAGGTGTCTTTGCCTGGTTTTGGGATAAGTGTAATACTGGCTTCATAAAATGTGTTTGGCTGTTTTCCTTCATTTTCTAGTTCATGGAACAGTTTAAGGAGGGTTGGTATCAGTTCTTCTTTAAAGGTCTGATAGAATTCAGCAGAGAATCCATCAGGTCCTGGACTTTTCTTTTTGGGGAGACTCTTGATTGCTGCTTCATTTTCATTTTGTGTTATAGATCTATTCAGGTGATTAATTTCCTCTTGGTTCAGTTTTGAATGATCATATGTATCTAGAAATCTGTCCATTTCATTAAAATTTTCAAATTTATTTAATATAGGTTCTCAAAGTAGTCTCTGATGATTTCCTGGACTTCCATGGTGTTTGCGGTTATCTCCCCTTTTGCATTCCTGATTGTACTAATTTGTGTTTTTTCTCTCCTCATTTTAGTCAGGTTTGCCAGGGGTCTATCGATCTTGTTTATTTTTTCAAAGAACCAATCCATCAGCCCTTTTTTTGTGATTTTTTTTCTTGAGACAGGGTCTTAAACTATTTACCCAGTCCTGTCCTCGAACCAAAATCCTGTGAATCTTAGCCTCCCAAGTAGCTTGGTTTACAGGTATGAGCCACCAGGACTGGCTAGTTTCACAGTTTTAAACGTGTTGTGCTTTGCTTATAGTGACTGCCAAGTTCAAACCTCCAGCCTGAACTCTTCTGGAGTTTCACATTGGAATGAAAACTTACTGTGGTTTAGTTGTAGGCCAGCCCAGTGGTAACTGCATGCCTATAGTTCCAGCTACATAGAAAGCATAGATAGGAAGATCTCAGTCAAAGACCAGACCTGGGCAAAAAAAAAACATGAGACCCATATGAAAAAAATAACCAAAGCAAAAAGGGATGGGGCGTGGCTCAAGTGCTTGTCTAGCAATGCAAGGTCCCGAGTTCTAATTCCCTATCACCAAAAAAAAATAGACCTCTTATAGGGCAAAGCACAGAGGAGGAGGGTAAAACACGGGCCTACATTTTTCCTCCCGCCCCATAAATTCAAAACGCCAAAGCTGCGGTGCAGCGACAAGATTTAAGGCCCAGAGCAGCTAGAACTGTTATCTCCCAGGTTGCAAACCAGAGCCTTGGATGGTCCCGCCAGACGCCGGTTCCCAGAATCCTCTGCTTGCGGACTCCATTTCCCAGATGTCTTAGCAGCAGCCTCCGGAACAACTCGTGCTCTGGACGGAAACTCCCGAGGATCGGCGCGGGTGGAGGACTTGAGGGGGCCCAGCCCTTTCCCCCGGACGGAACCTGAATGCCAGGGTTGGGATGCGGCCGGACGTTAGAGCCGCGCGCACCTGCGGGCGGGTGTTACTGCGTTCTCTTACCCCTGCGCCTGTTTCAGTCCCCGCGAGGAGGGGACGGAGGGGACCGGGCCGCCTGCCGCACCCTCGGAGCGCCGGGACACAAAAGGCTCGAGCCCGAGGCTCCGTCTGTACTCGCATCTGCGCAGTTGGAGGGGACCGCGCCAGGTCGGAGGTCCGGGCAGAAGGACTCCACTTCCCAGAGGGCTCGGGCGCGTCTGCAGCGGGTGGACAGGGCTGGGGGTTAGGATGGAGATGAGCCCCACAGTACTGGGGAGGTGGAGGATCGGGAGATCGAGACCCTGTCTCAAAACAAAACAAAGAAAATCACACAGGTCTCCTCTCACTGCTAGTTAATAAATCATCGGGATGTTTTGGTGAGTTTCTCGTTCGGTCGATTAGGTGGGGACTTACGCCCTTAAGTCTGTCTGCACGTTGAAACCACCGATGTGGGGCTTGGTGTGCTTGGACACGTCTATAATCCCAGCCACTCATAAGACAGATAGGAAGAAATCAATCAAGCTAGTCTGGGCAAAAAAGTTAGTGAGACCCTATCTGAAAGACCAGGTCGACCAGCTGGGTGCTGGGCACCGGTGGCTCACCCCTGTAATCCTAGCTACATGGGAAGTAGAGATCAGTAGGATCACAGTTCTAGGCCAGCTCAGGGAAGTAGTTTGTGAGACCCTATCTAGAAAATACCCAGACACACACGCACACACGAAAATACCCAACACAAAAAGGGCTGGTGAAGTAGCTCAAGTAGCAGAGCACCTGCCTAGCAATCCTGAAGCCCTGAATTCAAACCCCAGTACCATCAAAACACACATACACACATACAGCTGGGAATGTTGGTACACATCTGTAATCCCAGCTATTTGGAAGATGGAGATGGGTAGATCCAGGTGCTGGGCCAATCCAGGCAAAATTTGCACAAGACCCTATCTGAAAAAAAAAAATAACTGAAAGTAAGCGGAGTGGGGGTTAAAGTGGTAGTATGCTTGCTAGGTTCAATACCCAGCAAAGGTTGGGGGGGAATTCCTGCTTGTTTCAGCCAAAGCCTAAAGAATAGAGTCCCTACCCATCCCCTTTGCCCCCTAACCATGGGAAGGTAGGAGCCTAACTTACAGTCAGCAGACGCAGATGGGTTTTTGTAATTTTTCACTTCCTCAACTAGTGAGCCCCGGCTTCGGCCTCTCTGTCTTTCCTTCTGCCTTTGTACAGTCACCTCTGTACAAATCAAACTTGAGCTCAACTCAGACTGGACTCTTCTCCCTTTTGCAGTACTATATTAGTGACTAAAATCTTTCCTGAGCACTGTACCTAGCGTCCAACCTTGTCTTATTTCTGTCCTTCAAACTCAATTCAGTGCCTGTGTAACAGAACGGAGGATCAGAAGAAAACTGTCTAGGCCTGAGTCCTGAGAAAGTAGCAGGGAGGTAGGGATGGTGTAGCAGGGAGGTGGGATGGCGTAGCAGAGAGATAAAACCTGACAAATCTGAACATGAGGAAGGTCACATAGCACCAGGGAGAGGAAAGTCATGTAGCATTAGTATAAAGTAGCCAATAAAATGAAATATAACCATATATAGATCAGACCTTGGTTTTCACTTCTATAACCTGTTTACAAGGGCATACAAGGTAAGACCCCTTTGTTCTCAGGGCTCAGCCTTTGGACATGAGTCCACTGAGTCTGTGCTGGCACAATAAAATGTTGCTTCCAGCTAATTGCCTCAGAGTCCCGTATCTCAGCTAGCAACCTCCCACAACACCTGGACAGTGCTCTTGAATTACTATTCTGAGTGCTGACTGATTGATTCACCTGAATATCTTTCTAGTTTTCTTTTCTTTGTTTTCGGTATTAGGGACTGAACTCAGGTCCTTGCACAGGCTAGGCAAGTGCTCTATCACTTCAGTTATGCCCCCAGTCTCTTTTTGTGGTAATTTTTTTTTTTTTGGTGGTACTGAGGTTTGAACTCAGGGCTTCACACTTGCTAACTAAGCACTCTATCTTGAGCCATGCTGTTGCAGGAGTTTGCTAGCTGAGATCCGGGACTCTTAAAGCAATTAGCAGGAAGTGATGTTTTATTGTGCCAGCACAGGCTCAGCAGACTCGTGTCCAAAGGCTGACCCCTGAGAACAAAGGAGTGTCACCTTATATACTCTTGCAAGCAGGTTACAGAAGCATAGAGCAAGTTCTAATCCATATATGGTTATATATATGGCTACTTTACCCTAGTGCTTATGTGACTTTCCTCTCCTTGGTGCTACATGACCTTCCTCATGTTCAGATTTCTCAGGTTTATCTCTCTGCTACGCCATCCCTACCTCCCTGCACTTTCTCAGGACTCAGGCCTAGACTGTTTTCTTCTGATCCTCCTCCCTGCTACAATGTCACTCCCCCCCCCCTCCTTTTTTTGTGTGCGGTACTGGGGTTTGAACTCATGGCCTACACCTTGAGCCACTCCACCTGCCCTTTTTTGTGATGGATATTTTCAAGATAGAGGCTCACGAACTATTTTCCCAGGCTGGCTTCGAACCACGATCCTTTTGTTCTCTATAGCCTAGTAGCTAGGATTACAGGCTGAGCACCCCCCCAATACCCCCTCCCCCCTCCCCGTTCGGCTCCACCCCCTGTTTTGAGTGCTTTTTTTTCTTTGTTCAGTATGGGATTTGCACTCAGAGCTTGCTAGGCAGGCGCTCTACCACTTAAGCCATTCCACCAGCCTTTTTTTTTTGAAGATAGGGTCTCAAGAACTATTTGCTCAGGTTGGCCTAGAACTGCTGATGTCTGCGAGAGCCACCTGCACCTGCCTTCTATCCCGAAACAACAGTCTGGAAAAGCCCTCGTTTCTGACAACAAACTTAAGGCACAGTGTAAGAAAGCCACGGTGGCCTTTTCCCCTTTTGTCCGGTTTGTGGTCCTTTCTTGCTTTCTGGAACAGGAAGTCCAGGTTATGGCATCCTCTCTTTAACTCTGGGACTTCTGGAGCTTTGCCCTCCAAGGGACGTCGCCCTTCACTTCATGGCATCCTTGTGGACCCAGCCTAGCACTAGTCGTGACCTCCTTCCCGTGAGCCTCTGCTCCCATTGCCCGCTTCGGCGCATGCTCACTACCCAGCAGCCTTCGCGCCGCCCGGCTCAGCGGACATCAGGACTCCAAGATGGCGTCAGTCGGTGAGTTCTCGGTCCGGTTTGGATGCGTTGGAAAAAGAGGCTGGGTTCGGGTCTCCGAGCCGCACGGGGAGGGGACAGATCTGAGGAGGCTCCCCCCCTACTTTTAGGGACTTCCCCGCGGCCTCACCTCACTATCGTTTCGGGATTCTGCACCTTGCGATCTCCTCCTCCTGCAGAGCCGCGGCTTCCCGCTGTCCAGGGCCCGCGTCACCCGGGTCGGCGTCGGGGGGTGAGGCCAGCCGGGACCCGCGTCTCGGGGGCTGGGAACGTGCTGCGTCGGGTCACTCGCCACCTCTCTTGAGAGTGAGGGACAGATGTTCCCTTCTCCCTGCGAGTCAGGGGGTGCACCTGAACCTCAGGCGCAGCTTCTGCCCTTGTTCCCAAAGCTGACGCTTCAGTTAAGGTCCCGAAGGAGGACGGCGCCCGACACCATGTCCGGTGCCATGCGTGTGTATTGAATAGGCTTGCGGAGGCGAAGTGACCTGGTCAAGGTCATGTCTCTGCAGGGCTGAACCGGGACTCAAAGCCGGCGTCACGGTAATAAATGATCTTAATTTTCAAGGGCGGCTTTGTGACCATCAAGAGGCTTCTCGCCAACACTTCCACGTGCGGCCACTCATCTACTGTGTGTGCACTGATTTTTTTTTTTTTTTCTCATTTTGGAGACACGGTCTCGCTTTGTAGCTCAGGCTGACCTTGAACTTGTGATCTTCCTGCGTGCTGGGATTGGTGTGCGACATCACGCCCTGATTTTGTTTTGTTTTGAAATGGGAAACCACGTTTTAAGTCTAGGTGATAACAATGGTCTTATCAGGTAGTCAATGCTGGTAATGTCGTCCCCATTTTATTACTTAGTAAGGTTTGGTTTGAGGGCCTGCAGCTTTCTAGACAACTGGTCTACCATTTGAGCTACACCCCTGCCATTATAATAAGGAAAATAGGGGTCTGAGATGGGTGGGATGTCTAAGGTTACATAGGCTGATAGTGGCAGTGTTTTGATTAACCACTTTGTGCCTTACCTGTTTCTGTGCTCTTTAAAAAGAAAACTTTTTGCGTTGGAGTTGTGGCTCAGTTGGTAGTTGGCCTGCTTGCAAAGCACAAAGCCCTGAGTTCAAACTCCAGGACCACCAAAAAATAAATAAAAACAAAACTAACAACTTTTTTATTATTAGTAATTATGGAAAGGGTGTTTTTATGTTCTTAGTCTCACCCTGAAGAAAGGATCAGAAAAGGGAAAGTCAAGATGTTTCCATCTGTGAAATGAGCATGACACTGTGGTGGTCAACAGTGGTTGTTTTCAAAAGTGATGTGAGAAGAGCACTGAAACCAGGCATGGTGGTGTATACCTGTAATCCCAGCACCTATGAGGCTGAGGCCAGAGGATTGTGAGTTCAAGGCCAGCATGAGCTATGTAGTGGATTCTAGACTAGCCAGGACTATGTATTGTGACCCTATCTCAAACAGAGCATTGAGGAGGCTCAGCATCTTGTTTGAGAAGAGAGTTGAAGAGACCTGTGGATTAAGGATTAAACAATTCAGTACATGAAAGATGCTTGGAACACTGGCCCATAGTAGAGAGCTCATTTGGTCCTAACTGCTTAGCCCAGTTTTTACTCTAGTCTTTTGGTGAGGTAGTGTCAGCGCCTGGCCTATTCATAGTCACCAGAGGTGCAGAAGTTGTAGTTTGCGTCTGCCATGTCCTGGCAATCTTGTGCATGAGGCATGATGAAGCAGTAGGGCAGGTGGGATTGGCGACTATAGCAGGGCTGATTTCCTGCGGCCTGTTTTCATATGGTGGTCATCTGAGAACGGTGTTATACTTTTAACAGGATTACAGAAAACTTACATAGCATGCAAAGCCTAACATTTTTACTGTGGCCAACCTCTGGACTGACTTTAGCACCCAGGAAACACTTGTTATGGAAGTTCTGCTGCATGAAAAGTGGACAAGTCATAAAGTCACCTGCCTTGTCACAACCATCACTGAGTGGCCATGTACCTGGAACTCTGTGTGTGTGTCGGTGGTGCTCCCACCTTCAGACAGCTCATCGTGAGACGGAAGGAAAACAGCCGTACTTACCCATACCAGGAGTGAGGTACAGAGATAGGTGTCACTGTCCTTACTGTCCAGAGGAGACAGCTTCCTGCACTCGAGGGTTTTCCACTGGTGGAAGACAAAGGCCTTGGTCCTCAGCAGCCAGATTGGAGCCCTTTCCCAGCCCTCTGCAGCAAGGGACTTCCATCTGCAGTCACTGGTTCACTGTGACTCCCAGCAGGAGTCACAGCTTAGGGGTCAAGTATTGCAGGTTTAGTGCCACTCCATCTGTGTGCCCTTGGGGCAAGTTACTGTTCTGTCAGTAAAATATTTGTAAAATAATGGTCTCTTCCTGCCTTCCCCACAAAGACCATTTTTAAAAAGCTTTTAACAGGTCTGGCAGAGTGGCTCAAGCCATGGAATGCCTGCAAGTGTGAGGCCCTGAGTTTAAATTCCAGTACCACCGAAAAAAGAAGTTTTCAGCAGGCGTCCTCTTCAGGGCAAGTAGTCTAGGACCACTATCCCTTCTCCTGCTCTCGTTCTTTTTGTTTTTGGTGTTTCTCTACATGGTCTCACGCATGTTAATCAGGTGCTCTACCACTTGAGCCACACCTCTAGCCTTTTTTTGTGTGTTGAGTATTTTTGGAACTATTTGCCCAGGCTGGCTTTGAACCAAGATCCTCCTGATCTCTGCATCCTTAGTAGCTACCAGCGCCTGGCCTTAAGTACTTGTAATAAGCTAATATCTGTAACATAAATGTTAGTTTTCAGTAACCATCCTGTCCTCCACTTTATTATTTTCTTCCTCATGGTCCTTGACTCTCTTTTTAAGTGGTTTCTAGTTGGCTGTCATCCAAACCTCTTGTTGGTTCATAAGCTGTTACATAGCAGTTCTGCCGTTATATAGGCTTAGGCTTCATTTATTTATTTATTTTTGCAGTACTGGGGTTTGAAGTCAGGGCCTACACTTTGAGCTGCTCGCCAGTCCTTTTTTGTAATGGTTTTTCTCCTCGAGATAGGTTCTAGAGAACTGTTTGCCAGGGCTGGCTTCAAACCACAGCCCTCCTGAGTAGCTGACAGGTGGGAGCCACTAGCACCTTTTTTTTTTTTTTTTTTTTTTTTTTTCCCTTTTGGCAGCATTGAGGTTTGGACTCAGGGCCTTGCACTTGCTAGGCAGGGACTCTACCACTTGAGCCACTCCACCAGCTCTGTGACGGATTTATTTGCAACAAGTTATATACGTAGTGACAAGTCCCTCCATGAATAGTTAAGATATTGACATCACTAGTGTTTCTTGGTAGCAGTGTTTCTCTGCTCTTTCTTTTCAGTACCATTGAAGGAGAAGAAACTCATGGATGTCAAACTCACAGAGCTGCCTAGCTGGATACTGATGCGGGATTTCACCCCCTCGGGCATCGCTGGAACCTTTCGGAGAGGTCAGAGCCTGATGGCTTGCGTGCACTTACAAGCAGAGCTCTGGGTCTTAGCTCTCTTGGTCCTAGGTTAATCTGAACAATGAAGAAAAGCCTTGTCTCAGGACTAGTAGGTTGTATAGAGAACAGGGCGTGGTTACCAGCCCTTGAATTCCCATATTTTACTGGTCTTGTCAGAGGCTGGTTCTGAGAAAGAAGCCAAGAAAATGTTTTGCTTTGTTTTTCACAGTCTTGCTATGAGTCTAGGCTGGCCTCACTCACAAATCCTCCTGCCTCACCCTCTTGAGTACCAAGATTACAGATGTGCACCACCATGCCTGGTTTAAAAAGTTTTGTTGCTTTGAATCAGTACCTCTATCTTTGTCTTAGAGCATTTGCCCATCAGCATTCTTACATCTAAAACTTCTTTGAAATGTGTCTCAAAAGCACCTGCGCAAAACTTCGAGAATGAGTTTCAGTCATAGTGGATTTCAGTCTATAATATCATGTGGTTCTGTGTGCCATGATTTTTAAAACAGACATTTGAAATGGCCCACCTCTAACATGTGCATTTAAAAAGTGCAGGACTCCTCAGATTAGTCCCATGTAACCTGTCATATTGTTCCAGGAATAAAGATCCACCCAGATCATCCCACAGTAGGCACTGCATGGTCTCTGGCCTCCCCAGAGCCTCTTCTTCATCTTTCTAGTCCTGGCCATCCCGTGGCTGCCCTTTGTGTATCCGACCTAGCCTTTTCCTCAAGCTCTGCCTTTTCCCCGACTGTAGTTATAGCTGCCCAGGAAGTGAATGTGTTCTGTTCACTGTCATAGCTCCCTGCCCTGTGGCTTCAGGGCTTCCTCACCATTGTAAACTGTCTGGCCATGCCATTCTTTTTCATCACCTAGAGTCTGTTTCCCCTTTGGTAAGTGTACCTGTCCACACATGGCTAGGCATCCATAAAGACATGGCTGCAGGGACGTCTTCCTCCTCCCTTAGGGCCTGGCTGACCCAGCTGGCCACAACCAAGTGGCCCTTATGGGGAGTTGGGATCTGGGACGAAATTAGGGTAAAGGGATCCCCCAGGGCTAGAGGTGGCGGTAAGGTAGGCTCAAAGCCTAATGAGCTGACCTAAAGGGTCAAGTCAGAAGTAAGGTGGGCCTTACTGGCCCTCAAGGACTTTTGTGCTGTCCACCTTGATCAGCCAGGGAATGTAGGTTGGCTTGAAGAGCCAGGCCGACCTCACTGTGCCTCCAGGAGGCATTCTCCACAGTGAACGCCTTGTCTGTTGCAGGTTACGACCGGTATTACAACAAGTACATCAACGTGAAGAAAGGGAGCATCGCCGGCGTTAACATGGTGCTGGCCTGCTACGTGCTTTTCAACTACTGCCGCTGTTACAAGGAACTCAGTGAGTGCCTGCCTCCCCTGTCCCATGAGGTCATGGCCTGGGCTCAGTTAGGTATGGCAGGCCACCTGTCTAGCTGAGGGACCTGTACAAGGCTACAAGCCTGTACTTCACCTGAAAGACTTGCAGGACGTGGTCTGAATGTAGCATATGGAATAATACTGTGTTAAGTAAGAAGTTCGTGACAGAGAACACAGGAAAAACAAGGTGAAACTGGGGAGTCAGATACTGTGGGCTCATTGCTAGTGTGCCGTGATCTTCCTAGCAGCCAGTGCGAGGAGGGAAATAGGTTGTCTGATATGATCCAGTGTCTGTCCAGAACTCTGGAAAAGCATAGTTGTCCTGGCTTCAAGACCTAAGGTGGTCTCAGGCAATATCAGATGCAGTCTGGCTGCCTGAGTGAGATACTGGAAATAGCGTCAGCAGCATTTCTGGGTTTCCTGGGCTCTTTGTAACAGCCTCCAGACCCCGCCAATCTGCTGTGCCAGTACAGTGCTGCCCCTGAAGCACAGGCTCTCCACTTTGTCTAAGTGTCTTCCTAGGAAGGAAGAGGCAAGTAGGTTCTAGACCATCAGTAAGGACTTCCCAGGACAGGTGCACCGTGCTTGTAGCGTGCAGCTGCCATCATTGCGTGCTTTCCCCAGAACACCTCTTAAGAAACTTACCGTTTTTCCTGGCTTCAGAACATGAGCGACGACGCAAGTACCACTGAAGAAGGGCCAGTGTGGAGGGCATACTGCATTCCTGACCATGAACTCAAGCATGTCTGAATCCTTCCAAACCCCAACTGAGAATAAATTCCCAATAAAAGGTGAATGATCTATATGCTGCTGTCCTGGTGCAGCCATTGTCCTGTGCTCCAGGACTCCTCTGCACACAGGTGTGAGATTGGTAGGTAGCCTGAGGCCTGAGTGGGCTCTGCACACCACTACTAGGTGTGGGGAGGGAGGGGAACGGTAGGCATTTGACAGCACTGTGGCCAACCTGCCTACCACGTAAAGCGGACTGCTCTTGGCCATCTTAGGGCTCAAGGCAGGGGATTTGGGAACAGCCTAAATGTCTTCCCTTTCCCCAACTTTCTGTATGAACCTGTGCCATCGAGGCCTCTCGGGCCAGGTCACCAAGCAGCAGCATCTCAAGAGCCCTCAGGCAGTGGCAGCAGGTGGTACTATGGTGAGGTGGTTTCACTAGCATGAAGTTCACCACAGCCTGATAGCAGTCCATTGTTGACACTATACCAAGCACCCCACATGGGGCCTGTGGGGGTGGGAGAAGGCAATGCCAGCCTGGGATCTCCTGGGTGAATTGAACTCAAGAATAAGACCTGCCAACTGCTGTACAAAGGTCCTTCACAGAGCTTGTTCTTGTGGGACTCACACTTGAGGGACCATGAAGTAGCAGTGCTACAGCTTTGTGCAAGCAGCCCTCTCCTTTCCAGGAGCCCTCAGTAATGAGACACAGCTTAAAAAACAAGCTTTAATCAACTTGGTAAAAATCGTCCTTGTGATTGAACTGGTATCAGCCCATGTGCCCAGCCTACGCAGGTGATGGTCTCACATTTTGTAGGTCCAGGATGGGTGGTGTCCTCTGCGTGCCACAGGCATCTGAGTGACAGTACAGATGCTCTACGGCAGGAGGTAGGTAGATGGGCTAGATCAACTATGAAAGGGATGGTTGGTGGCTCCAGCTGAAGGTGTACCTTAAGTACTGTCAGGTAGGCACCCACCAGAGTAAGGCCAGCAGAAAGGGGAACCTCAAGCCGCAGAGACCAGCGTTTACCTTGGCTGCCACCACCTGGCCAGGGCCAGGCTGGGCAGTGAGTGACCCAGTTTGCCAGGAAGGGCTCCCTTGTCCAGATCACATTGATAGGCACAGCTTCAGGATTCAGCAGGACATGGAGGAAGCAGGCATGACCCGGCCACAGCTCTGAATGACCACCAGTACCTGGGCTCACCAAGAGCTGGTGTTTTAATGGCGACTTCCTAGCAACTCCCTACCCCTGGAGGGCTGGTGCACAGGAAGGACTGGAAAAAAGGCCCAGACGCCCAGGAAAGCATGATGCTTGACTTGGGGACCCTAACGGAAGCACATGTCCTTTAAAAAAAACAAAAAGATTGTGGCAAAATGATAGACGTCACTCCAGTGAGCGTGCCTGCCCACTGTCGCTGGAGTCAGCCCAACACTACATTCAGCAGTTAAGTGCACGCTCCCAACAGCGGGGCCCCTCGGGCTGCTCTGAGCTGCCTCCAGCTGCTGTCACTGTCCACTGAGGAAGGCCAAGTGCCCTTTGGTGCATCTGTTGGCATAGTGTCCTTTTTCACCACACTGGAAGAGCAGGAGGGGAAGGAGAGACAAAAATACAAGTTTTCAAATGTAACTTTCAACTAGAGAGCAGCCCCTGAATGGCAGACTGGGGGCGCCCTGAAGGTCTCAGTGGTGACAGATTTCTTCACAGAAGAAGCTCAAGCAGCAGAAACCCCAAGGAGTGAACTGGAAGGTGAATGGGAGCAAGGCCACCTGAAGGGCCTGAGAGGGGCTTGCACAAGTGGGACAAGGACAGAGAAGCCCACAGTACCAGAGCTCTCTAACCTGTCCTGGGACCAAGATCCTCTGCACACAGGCCACTTACCTCTAAGCCATCATCTGAGGCTTCTTCAGGAGATGGGGGAGGGAACATGAGAAGCCACCAGGCTCCAGCCCAACTCAGAGCCATTGTTGTGGACACAGGGTGGGCTGCACCCAAGGCTCTTACGTGTCTAAGCTACCTCTTAGGGGCGGGCTTTGCTCAGAGGGTTAGCGGTGGAAAATGGTTAGATGGGGAGGGGAGGGCAGGCGCCACACCTCAGATGGATTTAGCAATGACTGACTGGCTACTCAGGCCTTTCTGTAGCATCTGTTCTTGTGATGCCTCAAAACACAGAAGGGGATTAAAAGACAGCCTTAATCACTGGAGTCAGGAAGCAGCTGGGGGCCCCAACTAAGCGCTCTTCTTCCTGGCCACCGGGTCCCCATTTTTCCTACACCCTGCTTTGTTGTCTCTATCATTACCCAGTGCTTGGATGAGTGGAGTGGCCCTTAGACTAAAGTGATGACCAGGAGGCCCTATGCCTAGCACTTGCCACATCCATGGGTCTCCATAGTTGATCCAGGGAACCCAGGATCCCCATGAAGCGTGACACACCGTGCTAAGAGGTGGTCAGGTCTTAGGACTTCGAACACACTCGCTTCAGAGGAGGCCCCGTTGAATAGTCCTGGATGGGGGGACTAGCTAAGAAATGGTTCAGGGAGACCCTCCCTCAATTCACAAGCACCCGCCTTCCCCTCCCCACAGGAATGCAGTTTCAAGGATCACCTGGCTGCTGGGGCAGGGTCCTGGAGCCCACCCATTCCCAAGGGCAAGTTGTATGAGCCTGTGCAGTACACACCTTTTGGAGCCACACTTCCAGCCCATTTTGCTCTGATTATTTCAGAGATGGGGGTCTTGCAAACCATTTGCCCAGACCAGCCTTCAAATGTAATCTCCTGATCCCAGCCTCCCAACTAGCTAGGATTACAGGTGTAAGCCAACAACACCCAGCTAAGAGTGAGTGTGTTTTATAAAACAGAGTCTATGTTGCCCAGGCTGGCCTTGAATTCACAATCCTCCTGCCTCAGCCTCCTGAGTACTGGGATTACAGATGTGTACCGCCACACCTGCCTCTTGATACTACGATACATATTCTATTTGTGCTTAGAAGAACAAGTTTAAAACAGCGGTTCTCAGGCCAGTGGAGTTGCTCAAGGTGAAGCCCCTGAGTTCAAACCCCAGTACAACCAAGTAAATAAATAAATAGATTAAAAAAAAACAAACAAAAAACCAGCAGTTCTTCAAATGTGGGTTGGAGTTGGGGGTTTGAAAGTAAAGGGGTAAACTGGTGCATATGAGACCAGAACACACCAAATACAATGTGCCTCAATGCACTCACGTCCCTAAGACGTTTCACAAGATCACGTACTAATCTTGTGTTCTAATAATCCCGCATCTGAGGACCCCGTGAGTTGCTAGTGGTTTCTGCTGACTCAATTGGCGCCATGTGTTTCCTGCATGTTCTGTAATCTTTACTCACAGCCTCATTCTTTGGAGCTTGAAGTGTTGGAATTGTGTGGCATGGGTTGGGAATATTCCCCTCAGAGGGGCTGGCAGAGTGGCTCAAGTGGTAGAGCATCTGCCTAGCAAGCACAAGGCCCAGAGTTCAAACCCCAGTGCCACCAAAAAAAAAGAAAAAAACTTCAACTATTCCCCTAAGACCTTCAGAGCCTGTGGAGCTACTCAGAGCAGATGGCGGGGGTGCAGCCACCCCAGGTCAGCTCTGCATCGGAACTCAGCTTGTGACGCTTGAGCTCTAACCACCACTTTCCCAGGTCTTCCCTGCTATCCACCCGGAGCCAGGAATGAGGGAGACACGTTTCCTCGCAGCTTGGTCACATCCACCCTTTCCCTGAGTGCCCCATGTTACGAGTGGGGTGGGCTGTGTGTCCTAACACTGTTCTCCCAGGGCAGGCCTCCTCCCCCTGGTGTGCCACACGGGACTTGAGGAGCCTCCGGGGCAGCCACTCGTGACTCACTACTACTACTGGTATCACTTTTTTTTGCTTTTGATGGGCCTGGGGTTTGAACTCAGGGCTTTGGACTTGCAAAGCAGGCGCTCTACTGCTTGAGCCACGCCCCCAGTCCATTTTGCTGTGGTGATTTGCTCAGGCTGGGCCAGGGAGGCTTTCTCTCACCTCACTGCACAGTCCACTCACTCAGCAGAATGTTTTCCTGCCCTTCACCTTGCCTTGGTGTGTTGTACGTCCCTAGCCCACCAGTGTCCCACCTTTGGTCTTAAATTAAACGAGCAAAAAACAAGGATGTTTCATTTTTCGAAAGCAACCCCCATCCAAGGAATGGGGGCATGGCTGCTAACTGGAGATGCGTCCCACCCTGTCCCACGCCCCACGACTCACCTTGTAACAGGTGACCTGCTCCAGCGGCCGGGGTCCCCGGTTGCCTGCACTGCTGTTTTGACTCTGCATGACCCCGATGACCTGCGGGGCTCTCTGCTGATTGGGAGAAGAGTTCTGACTCGTTAACTGGATCAAGGAGGACGACCTTTGTAATGGCGGATTGTTACTTTGCTGGAAAGAGTTACACAACACGGTTTTACTGCGGAAAACACGTGCACGCAGACTACCGATGGGGAAGGAAAAAAAGAGGGGAGGACTGCTCCCGCTCAACCAGCAGGAAGAGGGCTTCCGCGACGGCCCAGCTCAGGACAGTGGGCAGGAAAGAAAACTTCCAGTGATGATGGCAGGAGCTGCTGCCCGAAAAACACCATGCAGACACACAAAAACGAAAAGTAAAAGAGGAAAACAAAAGAGCAGAGATGAGAGGGTCCCGGGCAGCGGGGCGAGGGCACAATCAGGCCTTACTTTGATGTCTGAGATTCTGGCTTCACATCAGGGTGAACGCTTGGTTTAGCCAGATGTCTAGCAGCCTACACGGCGAGCGACAGTCACAGAAAAACAGTTGGAGCCTGACACGCTGACCTGTGGTCTAGGCTGAGGGGCCCTCCTCTAGGGAGTCATGCAGGAAAGGGGGCGGGGTCCTGGAGTGGGGACTCCAGAGCAAGACCAGCTCCCCACCAGGTGGGTTCTTGGCTCTAACCCCATAAATACAGGACCCCAGCTGTCAGCTGCACCCATGCCCAGGAATTCCTGGTTTGACTGGCACTGTCACCTCCTGGGTGGCGGGGGAAAACTCGAACACATCCACTCCTGGCTGCTAAGCCTCTGACACTGAACCCCCGGTGTGGGCTCTGGTGATAGGTTCTAGTCAGCCCGGTAACACATGAAGCTTCAGGTGGGCAGCGGACCTGTGGGAGGCCCTGCCTGGCGTAGGCAGGCCCCTCCTCTGGGCCCAACCTGACTCCCATGACCAAACCCAGGGTGCCCTGGTTTCAGGGGCTGCTGTATATTCACATTTGTCTACAGCGTTTCCCTTCTGCTGAGGGGACAGGACAGACCAGCTGCACGTGGAACTGTCTAGAAAATGAGACAGCTAGGCCTTTGGTCCTGTTTGCAGAGGGAACCCCACAGAAGCGGCAAAGGGGCCAACCAGAGAACAGTCCGCCTCCATCCAGCTCCTTCTTCTGCCTTGCCTGGTGGTGTCCCCAGGGCAAGTCCCTCCCTCTAGGAGTGTAGTTTCCCTGCTTTGAAGGCAAAGGCCTGTCCCAGAACCATGAGCTACAGTTGTGGGCTCAGGCTACCCATGGCTCAGGCGGGCACTCTTACATCCACAGTGACACTTGTGTGGCCTGGAATCCCGTCCCTGCCTGCCCTCCAGCTCTCAGCCTCCCTTGGCTGAGGCTCTAGGCTTGAGGAGGAAGAGGAGCAGCCTTGGACTTCAGGTCCAGCAGATGCCCTTCATCTAGAGGGCCACGCACGGACCTTTCTTCAGGAACAAGGACTTCCCTTCTTTCTTGCCTCCTCCCTCACCCTCCGCCCAAGGCCCCAGCTGGACTAATGGCAGACTATACAGGGAGGTGGACACTGAGGTTCTCTGCAAGGCAGTAGAGGCTCGGGGGGCCTCGGTGCGGTACCTTTGTCGGTGGCTGAGTCTGCTGCGGCAGTGGGGGCTGCTCAGTGGTTCCCATGGGCAGTTCAAATCGAGGGCTGGTCACACAGCCAGATGAAAGAGAGAAGAGAAGAGGGCATGAGAAGAGACAGGCCAGGCAGCACTGGGAAAACCACACCTGGCCTCTGCACAAGCAAAGTGGCCCAGACCACAGGCGCAGGAAGGACAGAACTGGTTGGAGGAATCTTGGGCAAGAGCTGCTCCAAGAAAGGACAGTACAATGGCCTGGGCCGTACAGACCCACATGCCGGCCACAGGCCAGACCACATGAATGGGAGCCCTGTTCCCGGGGGAGAATCACTTGATGGATGACATGCCACCCTGCAGACAGGCATCTCTGTCACCTGCCCCCAATGAGGCAGGGACCAGGTCCCAAGAGAGTATGCACCCATTCTGCTATAGGTTTGGAAGTGGGGCCAGAGGCAGCATGGAGTGAGAGGCCCTTCTGCTGTCCCCATGTACCTGAGGCAGGAGCCCAGCCTCACAACCACTAAGTGGCAGATGTCTGCCAGGCTCTTGAGGACAAGGTGATGGACCTGAGGGAAGGACCCCAACCCTGCTGGGCAGGAAGAACCCAGTTTCGGAGGCCCACGGACCTGCATTTAGCCAGGTGCCACCACCTACCACCATGTGGCCCTGACTAGAATCTGAACCCGTCTCAGGGTTTTCATGTGGGATAAAGCCAGTCCCCCCAGGCCACCACACTTGCACCTCAGACACATGAAGTACTAGACATGGGACGACAGGCTCCGGACTCCCAGAGGTGGCCCTGAAACTTGAGTTACCTTTCTTTAGGATACAGGCTCTTGACCTAAGGTCCCCGACTCCCTTAACCGCATGCACGACTGTGTGAGCGAGTCCCTCTGCAGTGCAGGGCCTGAGACCTCTGGGAGTGACATGCTGATCTAGACAGAGCCACCTCTGAGTTCCAGAAGCAGCAGTGGCCATAAGCGGTGGCTCCTCCCGGTTTCCCACCCTCACTTGGCAACCAAAGCCCAGTCACACCCGCTAGCACCCAGGGCAGTCGCAAGCCTGGGGCAGAAGGTGGGGGAAGGTACTCACTGCATAAATTTACATGAGGGTCCCTCTGGGCAGAATCCCACAAGGTAATTCACGCAGATGACTCTCCGCGTGTGCCGGTGCCTGCACAGGGGACCTGCAGAGACCCATGTCTGAGTCAGATGTTTCAACTACCAGTCACGGCCCTACCGTAACTGTCTGGGATGCTGAAGGCCAAAACATGGCTTCAAGTGCTGCCTTCGCCTCTTACTGACAGGGACAGGAGGCAGGACTCAGGCTCTCCACCCTGGTCTTCTTATCAAAAGGACAGGCAAGAATGCCCCCCACCCAGCCTTTTTGGGACGCTTGAGATGAGGGGTGTGAAAAACCTCCCAGTCAGGCATAGAGACATAGACCTATAATCCCAGGCTGAGGTGGAAGTATCTCAAGTTCAAGGTCATCCTAGGCTACAAAGGCAGACCCTGTGTCAGCCACAAAAGGTCAAGTTTTGCTGGGGCACATGGGGTGATGTTCCAGGAGGGACAGCTGGCAACCCTGAGGCTTATGTGGGCAGAGTATGCTGGCCCTTCACAAGGGCCCAGCTTCTGGGACCTACCATGCTTGCAGAAGCCACGGTCGTACCAAGGGCAGTCCTTGATCTTGGACTCAGGGTCGATGTGCAGGAAGGGGCACTCCTTGTTGCTGCATTCCCCTGCAGGAAACCAGATGTCATTTGCTGGAGCAGTGCTGGGAACGTACCTCCCAACTCAAAGGGGGTCAGGCTACCAGGTCTGGTGTTTTGGCTTGGCCAGGTAAGGCCTGAGCCTACAGGGCTGAGACAGTCCTCTCATATTCATCAGCAGTGTCGGGAGGGCCAGTGACAGTGGACCTGCCCCAGGGCACTCTCATGAAAACCCATCATTCCACCCTTACCTGTCCTGGGGCTTGAGATGGGGGCAGACATGCAAATACACCTGAGACTAGCAGCTGTTCACCTTTAGAGGGCAAACATGGGTCCCTGTGGTGGCATGAGTAGGCCTTGCTGATGACAGCAGGTGGACGAGCTCCTCTGAGGAGCAGCCAGCCCAGCTGGCCCCAGCACCAGGACATGCCTCTCTGGGTGACCGCCCGCCTGCTTCCTGGCTGGCCCACTGCAATGTGTTGGCACACACGGCTTACAATGCAAAGCGCAGACTCCAGGCCCAGTCCTCCTGCCTGCACCTGCTCAGAAGGCCCAGCCTCACCACCCAGCCCTCTGGGTCTCCTCTGCCAAGAGAATCCGCCGCTAGGACTGGTCCCTTCTTAGCCCCTACCTCCCAGCTCAGGTCTCCCCACAAGAGGCCTTCCCACCTTCCTCTGCCAGAAATCAACGCCATTGTGGGTCTCATCGCTGCTCTTTTCTTTCCCAGCACTTCCCACAAGCAACTCTCCTCACTCATCCTACTGGCTTAGCAGCCATCTCTTTACTACTGTTCCCCAGCACTTAGACGAGGACTCTCAAAACACATCTATGTCCCAAGTGACAGCTGCTGCAGATGGTGAGCTTGCATGAAGACAGAGGACAAGGCAAGCAAAGAGGGTGCCAGGGCTGTGGCAGGGAGGAGGGAACCCCAGGCTAGGACAGAGGTGTCGAGGGAGCTCTGGGGCCAGACGGCAGCTCTGCACCTTCCTATGTTGCTCTGGGCTGGGGTGAGGTACGGAAGTGGCAGACAGGACAATCTTGAGGAGCTGGGGAGCTGGGGAGCCCGAGGCCTATTTCTGCCTGTCTGCTTTACCTTCTCAGCTTCTGCTGCCACCCCCAAAAACAAGGCACAGCTGCTATCAAGAAACCTATAGCCATGCCTGCTTCGAAGCTGAACATAAGCAACAACTCCTCCACCAACTGCTCTGAAAGCGCCAGCACCCGCGCTCCTCAGCTCACCACAAAGCCTCCGGTGGGCTTCTGATCTCCTGCCCAGCTCTTGCACAGGGCCTGGGACTGCAGTCCCAAGGCCACAGGCAGTCCTTGTGGTGACCAACAAAGCTTCTTCCTGGGACACCTTGAAAGGCAGAGCAGACTGCTGGGGACTATGCTCTGCCCCAGCCCCACCGCCCCGCCCTGGGCCTGGCTTCACCATGTGCACTGCCCAGGATAAAGAGATCATGGGATCTCCAATCAGAGCTCAGAGCCATCTTAGTTTCAAGGTGAAGATCGAGGGTCACTGCCACTGGAACCCAGCCCCCACACCTGCTCCTCTGAGGGCTGTCACTCAGAATCACACTCCCCGAAACAAGGAAACACCTCAGTTCTGGGCCATCAGTGACTGTGCTGGAAGGACAGTCTGATCATGGCCAAGGCTGCCATGATCAGAAACAGGTCTCCAGATGGCCACACATCTAACCTACTCACCAGGACCCTTTTAGTCTCAACACCCCAAACAGCTCCAAACCCCACTGCCCTGGAAAGACATTCGGGACTACCAGAGTGTCATCATGCCTTTGCCTTTCCGAAGAGCCAGCTTGGGCTGCCACACGCTAAGCTCTGGAAAGGTGGGAGATGGCAGACGGAGGCGCGCTGGCCGGCCCGGTCCGCAGTGGAGCCTTCCGGGGCTCCGCGGGTCTTACCAAACTTGGAGTAGAAGTAGCACTCAGGCATCTTGGTCATGTCGTACTCGTGCAAGAACTCACACTGGTCCCCCTTCTTGCAGAGCCCCCGGAGCCAGTGCTTGCACACGACTGTCTTCTCCCCACTGATGTGCCGGAATGGGCACATGCCCCCTGCCGAGGAAGGGGCAGCTGTGAGGACAGGTGCAGGCTCAGGGGGACCTGGGCCTTGGGGAGCCAAGATGCCTACACCCCACACTTCCCAGAACTACCTGAAAACAATGGCGAAGGGCCCCCAGTAGAAGGCGACATGGCTTTAAACAGCATCCCAGCAAACATTTTAAATTTTTAACAGCTATGTACTTTAAGGGGTTTGGAAAATTTTGAAAACACGAAATCATGATTTCACAGACACTACTGTAAGACACAGGCATAAGAAGCTTAGGGTAGATTTACTCCTTAGAACAGTTCTAGAACAAAGACATGGGAAAACTGGAGAAGAAAATCTGGGGTTTTGGAAATCCTAAAGGACAAAGTAGAAGCCTGGACTCCAGGGGAGGCTCTGTCTCCAGGGAAATGATGGGCATGGTTGTGCATGCCTATAATCCCAGCACTGGGGAGGTTGAGGCAGGAAGGGCAATAGTTCAAGGCCAGCCTGGGCTAGGATCTACAGTGAGACCCTGAATTAAAAAAAAAAAAAAAAGCCAGGTGCTGGTGGCTCACGCCTGTAATGCTAGCTACTTTGGAAGCCGAGATCAGGAGGATCGAGGTTGAAGACCAGTCCAGGAAAAGTTTGTGAGACACCCCAAAATAACCATAGCAAAACAGACTAGAGGTGTGGCTCAAGCAGTACAGCACCTGCTTTGTGAGCACAAAGCCGTGAGTTCAAACTCCAGTCACCCCCCATACACATACACACACACACACACAAAGTGCCCACACAGCCTCAAGATCAAGGAAAGGTCAACTTCATTCAGAATCACAATTCATGCAGAGGGAGGTGCCTTTCTGTGTCAGAACCTGTCATGCCCAGACGGTCAGTGCCTTCCTCTGGGAATGCCAGACTTATGACTTCTGGCCTGGGAAGTCCTGACTGGGATTAGGCTGTGACCGAGAAAGCTCTAGAGCAGTCCTGTGAAGAATTTTCAGCAACAATGGAAGGAATGTTCTACATCTCTGCTGTCCAATATGGTGGCCGATAGCCACATGTGGCTACTAAGCACTTGAATTAAAATCCTTAACATTTAAATTGGAAAGACACCGCATATAGCTACCGGCTACTAGGCTAGAGGACAGCATGAGGACCTATGTTAAGGATGGCTGTGGTCATGAAAGATGGCTGGCTAGCAGCAGAGCACTGAGTAAATCCATGGGAATAGGATCAGGACCCCAGCGGGGACTCATGTCCTCATCGTTGATGGATCTGGAAGGTGTACTATGTCAGTATCATACGACAGCACTGTAAAACCAAAACCCACCCAAATCACCCATGAACACCGTCCCCTTGGTCAGGTTCTGTCCTCGAAATGCAAGCTTCCAAAATGAACTTCCCTAAGCAGAAAAAAGGCCCGGACCTCTACAGGGTATATATCTAAGACCTGCCCGACGATACTTTTTTTTGTTTGTTTGGTGAGTTTTGAACTCAGGGCTTTGTTCTTGCAAAGCAGGCACTCTATTGGCTTGAGCCACACTTCTAGTCCATTTTGCTCTAGTTATTTTGCAGATGGGGTCTCAAGAACTATTTGCCTGAGCTGGCCTCCAACCACAATCCTCCTGCTCTCAGACTCTCAAGAAGCTAGGATTACAGGTGTGAGCCACCAGTGCCTGCATCCAACAAACTTATGAATTAAGTGATAATCTGGCTCATGTAGCCTCTGTTGTGGCCTGAGAAGTGTGACCACGACCCCAGAAGAAAGATTTCTGTAGGGTCTTTGGCTAAGATGCCACAGAGGGCAGTAAGCCTGTATATGCCACAAAATCTGGGAGGACTGTGTTCAGACACACGGCTCAGCCATACAGTAACTCTGATACCCAAGAAAGATCCTGAGGGCCTCAATGCTGAGGTCTCTGTTCACCTCACAGATGGAAAAGTGACTCGAGAAGGGAGCCTGTGAGCCAGGTTCAGCCCTGTGTTCAGGTTCTGGGCAGAGCACCCTGTCAGGGTCCTAGTCTAGCAAACCACAGCATCATCTAAGGGCATGGTTACTCTGCAGGAGGCCATGCAAGCCAGAGACCTAGTGGCCTAAGCCTGCTAGGGGGCAGGGGGTGAAAGGGCACCTCAAAGGTATGTCAGGAAGCCGGGGGTGGGGGGGGGCGGGGTGGGGGTCTCTTACCTTTGCCACAGGCAGCTTTCAAAAAGAATTCGCAGACAGCAGCCCCCGACTCTGTAGAAAAAAGAAAAGGAGACACATCAACTAAAGCTGGGTGCCACAGCTGTGACCAACAACCAAAGACAGGGGGAGGGGACCCTTCTGACCATTGTTCCAGGGCATGGGAAAGAGTGGCAAAAATGCAAGGCCCAACCATGCCAGCCCAAAGTCACTTACTTCGGTCATTCCCTGCAAAATGAGACACGTGCACCCAGATAGACCATTACTCTCAGCTTCTGATTACGCCTTGAATACCAGCTACTTGGGATTGTGGCCTAAGGCAGGCACCGGCAAAAGCGAGAGACCCTATCTGAAAAACAGACTAAAAGAAAGGACTAGGAGCTTGCTGCCCTCAGTTCAAACGCCAGTATTGTCAGAAAGAGTTAAGAATGGGTGGGGACTGGCAGAGTGGCTCAAGCAGTAAGAGCACCTGCCCAGCAACCATGAGTTCCTGGGTTCAAACTCCAGTGCCACCAAGAAAAAAAAAAATCAATAAAATTAATCCACTTAGCAGTAATGCTTTAGGAAAGGAAAAAAAAAGTGAATGGGGGTCCAGGTTATGGCTCAAGTGGTAAGCACTAGCCGTGAGGCCCTGAGTTCAAATCCCAGTACCAAAAAATCAACAACCAAAACAAACAAGCAGGGGTAGGAAAAGGGAGGATGGAAGATGAGATGACAGAAATAATTACCCCAGCTCGGTCCTCCCAGGAGGGCTAATTCAGGGGCACAATGACATGAGGCATGAGACAGACGGAGGGGATGAGTGAGTCAAAGGATCAGATGGCCCCTCTGGGCAGGACAGGTTCCAAAACAGAGGCAGATGCCTCTGAGACACTAGTCCAGGTGGAAGTGAAGCCCCAGAGGCAGGCCTGCTCTGAATCCACACATTAATTACAAAGGAACAGGGTCACTCACTCACACAGGTCTGGATGGTTCTGGTGAGGGGAGTGAGATTACAGAGGCACAGTGCAAAGGAGGTCAGTGGACACCCACGTCAGCCATTCCGATGAGTCCAGGGAGTCACTGGCCATGACTTCCAGAATACACTGTTCTTGAGCGGGCAACTTAGCTCAGTGGCACAGTGCTTCCCTGGCAAGTGCCAGGCCCTGGGCTTCAGCCTCAGCACCACGAGGAAACAAAAACAAAATTCCAAATTTCTCTAGAATAAGCTCTCCTTGACTTCTTAGTTTTTCCTATTGCCAGGCATTTCAGAGTTGCTAAAAACCCTGTTGGCATCTCTGAGGACTGCTCACAAACTTCCCCTGCTAACTCGCAAGAAGTTCTGTGGCTTCTTAAAAGCAAGCAAGTTTTGCTAAGATAGAGTTAAGGTTGTAGAATTTAGGGGTGTCACGGGGAATTATAAAGAGAAGTCTGAAAGGTCCTGCCTTAAAAAAGTCAGGCACTATGGTTTACCCGTGTAATCACAGCTATTTGGGAAGCTGAGATTAGGAGGATAGTGGTTCCAGGTTAGCCTGGGCAAAAATATGTGAGACCCTATCTCAACAGAAAAAAAGCTGGGTGTGGTGGTGTGTACCTGTTATCTCAGGCTGGCCTGGGCAAAATGTGAGACCCCGTCTCCAAAATATCCAGAACAAAATAGGCTGGAGGTGTGGCTCAAGTGGTAGTGCGCCTACCTAGCAACTGCAAAGCCATGAGATCAAACCCTATTACCACCCCCTCAACACCAAAAAAAAAAAAGGTAGAGTTAGGAGGATTTCTGGGCTGATGATGAAGCTCTGTGGTTGCGTGCCTGTCCACCATGTGCAAGGTCCTGGGTTCCGTACTCAGCACCACAATAATAACAACATCTCATTCTTTTCAGAGGTTTGGGTTGCTTCATTTCTTAAAGTGAGAAATCCACAGCAGTCCTGCAGACTGTGTTTTAGGCGGATGGGAACCCAGCATGCCGTGAGAGCAGAACGGACAGTGCTTCTCAACCGAGATGGGAACAAAGCTGAGGGACCAAGGAGAAAGGGTGCAGCTGGGCTGGGGTGTAACTTTCTGAACTCACTCAATCACAAGCAAGCAGTGGGTGCTGAGGGCGCTATCAGGTCTAAAGCAGAGCTGCCAGTACCTGTGCTAGGCATGTCCTGGGCCCTCTCAGGGAACAGGTACGTGGGGCCCTCACCACAGCTCCTGTGCGCAAAGGCTAGTGGACCTGTGGTGCCAGGAGGGAGGGAAAGGGCTGCCTCCCAGGGATGATTCTAGGGCCTCAAGCTTGTGCCATCTAGAAAGGAAAAGGCCAAAATGTGTGGGTGGATGTGTGCGAACAAGCCTGGACACTGAGGGGTAGGTAGGACGGAGTGTGTCTGGATTTGAGCAGCTGCTTGTTAGGGGTGTCTGCACATCAGGTGTGGTGACACACACCTATCACCTGAGCGCTGGGGAGTCAGAGACAGGAGGATCCCAAATTCAGGGCCAAGCCTGGGTTATATATTGAGACTCTGTCTTAAAAAGAAAAAAAAAAGGTATCTACATGTATATAAAATACATAGGTATGACCTATGTCCCACCAAAGCATCAGCAGAAGGGGACAGACTCAGGTTGACTGTGGCCTGATGGCCTGCGGAGCCCTTTGGCAGTTAGGGGAGACAGCAGGGAAGGTGGAGAGGTCACCAGGCTCTGCCTTGCACCCAGTGGTCTTCAGCAAGTGCCTCCCACACCTGGACCTCAGGCTCCCCATCAATAGATTGAACTCAGTGACCTCTAAGCGCCCCAGCTTTACTGACATTACATTAGGTTTCCATACAACCACAAAGGACATGTGGATGGAGAAGAAAACTTTTCCAGAGTTGGGGAAGCCAGGAGCCACCATGTGAAGAGGGAGCTCAAATCAAGGGTCACATCAACTACCTGACCCGGAGCTCGGGTGCAGAGAGAGAAGTAGAGAGAGGTGCCCAGGACTAGAAGAGCGAGTCTTGAGGAAAGAAAGGAGTTTGGGACTCCCTTCTTTGGAGTTTGGACTTTCGCTGTCCCCTCCTGCAGCGAAGGAAGGGCTCCTTATTGAAGAAAACAAGAGGCGGGAGCGCCATGTGGGGGGCGGGAGGTGGGAACCCGGGTGTCCCAAGACTTTCTTCTAGTTAAGGAAGCGGGGGACAGCGAAGTCCAACCCAGGACAACCCGCCTTCGCTCAGGAATGACGCCCTCCTAAGGACTACTACGGATCGGGTCCCCCTGGGAAAATCAAAGATGCGACCGAGAAAGGGGGCGCCCGAGCTCGAGATGGGAAACGAGGTCCTAGGACCCGGGATAAGAGGCCTTGGGGACCCGGAGTCCCAGGTCCGAGTCGGTGTCGCCCGCCCGAGCCCCAGGCTCACTGTCCATGCCGGGGAAGGGCAGCGGCTGCGCCCCGAGCTGCTGCTCCACGGCGATCTCCAAGTCGAACTTGATGTGGTCCACGCTGGCGATGATTTCCTGCATGGCGGCGGCGACGGCGGCCCCCTCCGGCCCGTCTGCTCTTCAGGTCTCTAGACGCGCGCACGCCGCTGCCCGCCGTCCGTCCGCGTGGCGGCACACAGTCCTCCCTTTGCCTCGCCCGCCGCCGCCGCCGCCGCCGCCGCCGCCGCCGCCCCCGCCGCTGCCGCCGCGCAAGGAATGCCGGGAACGCCTCGAGCCCGCGCCGAGCTTTTGCCTCTGCAGACCTGGCCAATCGAGCACGGAGCTGCCCCCCGCGCCAGGTCTCGCTAGCCGACCGCCAAGCGCGCGCCTAGTCTTCCTGGTAATCAGCGCGTGTGAAAGCTCGCGACGCGGACTGCACCTGCGCGAAGCCACTCAGCGAAGCAGACTGCGCATGCGGAAGAACCTCACGGCACGGACTGCGTCTGCGCAAAGCCCTCCTCTCTGTCCTCTTCCCCACTCCAAAACGTGATGCGAACTGCGCCTGCGCGTTTCCCGCCTTGGGCGAGCGCCGCGGAAAGTGACTCAGTTTCAGCCTGGGACTCAGTGGGGACTCTGCTAGGGGCAACGCGGAGACTCGGCGTAATTCACTGCGCCGGACATTTGCAGTGAGTTCCTAATCGATCTTTGCAGGACGCCCGGGTCCCAGCGGAGACTGGTTCGAGGGGCAGCGAGAGTCCGAACCGGGACCAGAACGTGGGGCGTGGGATGTAGGAGCCCAGGCTCTGAAGGCGTGGTAGAGAGGGTCAAGGTGGCCCGAGGGTTCCGGCGAGCTGTTAGGATGACAGTGTTCTTCGGGGGAGAACGGCCTCAGCGTGTCTTTAATTCAGGGGAGCGACTGATTGATTGACACAGGGTCGCACTATGTAGCCCAAGTTGGCCTCGAACTCGGGATCCTTATGCTTCCGAGTGCTGGGATTACAGGAGTGTGCACTACCACGCCCGGCTTTAATTGAGGATTTAAAACCTGGGTACCTTAGTGAATTCACTAAGTTTGTCTTAGTGTTATACTTAGCATTTCCTTTTCTGCCTCCCAGAGCAGCATAAGCCATGTCATTTCAAATGGATAGATGTAAATGATAGCTGGAGACAGTTTGTGAAGCAAGGACATGGTAGACCCTGGAGCTGTCATTTACACTCGTTTCTGCTTTGATAGGATCGTGTCATTTAATCCACTATAAAACAAGCACGTAAGTTTATGTCCACCAGTAGCACAGATGCTACCAGATGCTTGTCGTCTCCTGGCCTCAGTCATTAATGTATTCATCTCCCACCACCTCTGAGATCTTTGTAGCGGTGACTTTCTAATATAACCAGACCTTAAGATAGTTCCATGCTGTGAGCTCTCATTCAGATTTTTCTTTTATTAAAGTGTTGAAAGTATGCAGGTTGGACTCTTTAGCTCAACACCGTCCCGAGAGATATAATGCAAGCACATACATAATTTTTGTTTGTTCAAGACAGGATCTTGCTATGTAGCCCATGCTGACCTCACACTCAAGATTGTCCTACATCAGGTTCCCAGTGCTGGGACTGCAGGTGTGTGACTCCAGCCGGCTTACAGCTGTTTTTCAGTGATTTTTTTTTTGAGGTGGGGAGGGCAGTACTGGGGCTTGAAGTCAGGGCCACAGGCTTGTTAGGCAAGTGCTCTACCACTTGAGTCACCCCACTAGCTTCTTTTTTAACTTAATGGTACTACTTGAAATTTAAAGTTATAAATTCGACGTGGTAGCACACACCTGTAATCTAACACTCGACACCCAACACAGACTACATAGTGAGTTGGAGGCCGGTGGGGGGCTCCATATCGAAACCCTGTCACAAAAAAAGAAAAGAAAATAGAAGTTGTATACTTACCTGGCAGGGGAGATACCATGATCACGAAGGTGGTTTTCCCAGGGCGAGGCTTATCCATTGCACTCCGGATGTGCTGACCCCTGCAATTTCCCCAAATGTGGGAAACTCGACTGCATAATTTGTGGTAGTGGGGGACTGCGTTCAAGCTCTCCCCTGAAAAAAAAAAAGGAAATAGAAGTTGTGAAAGTGCTGGTAATAATATATCATGTAGTCTAGCATACCTGAAATATTTCAGGATTTTAAAAGGTTTCCAACGCTATAATCCTGGCTACACAGGAGGCAGAGATCAGGAGGATTGAGGTGCAAGGCCAGCCTGGGCAAATAGTTTGTGAGACCCTACCTGGAAAATATCCAATACAGAAAAGGACTGGCAGAGCAGCTCAGGTGATACAGCGCCTTACTACCAAGTGTGAGGCCCTGAGTTCAACCCCCAGTACCACTACTAAAGAGATAAAGAAAAAATTGCTAATGGGTATTTTGCATTTTTTTGGTACAAGGACCTTGAAATCTGGTCCTGCAGATCGTATCTCCATTTAGACTGGCCAGATTCAGGTGTTCAGAGGCCACATGTGGCCAGTGGTTGCTGTCTGGACAGCACAGCTCTTGCCTCTTTGTCACAATTGTTGCTGAAAAGTAAAAAAATACTTGAGGTAGCAAGCTGGAATGTCCCACAGTTTTTCCTAGTAATCGGTGATAATGACTATAACTTTTGTGTACCTCTTAAATACCACACATGGAGCTTGAAACATGTCAGTCAACCTCAACCTTGAGCTGAAGCATTCGGGGTGCAGGAGGATCAAGGAACAGGTGCAGTCACCCAGCGTTAGCCAAGACTCATGCTCAGCTCTGGTTCTCAGCACCCGCTGTCATACATCACAGCTTCCTAATGGCCGCGGTTTACGTCTGCCACTGTGAGCGTACCGGTGTCTCATCTCATTCCACATTGCCACAGTACCGTGTGAATGGCATGGTTGTTAATCTCAGGTTTTTAAAAAGTTACTTTCCAGCCAGTCTGGTCCACAGTCCTCCTACTTAAGCTTCCTGCATAACTGTGGTGCCACCAGGCCCAGCTTTTTCATCGAGATGGTACCTGGCTAATGTTTTGGGGGATTTTTGGCAGCACTAGGATTTGAACTCAGGGCCTCACACTTGCTAAGCTCTTACTGCTTGAGTCACTCCATCAGCCTGGCTAACTTTTTGCCTAGGTTGGCCTCAAATCACAATCCTCCTGCCTCAACCTCCAGACTCCTGGGTTTGCAGTCGTATGTCACCACACCAGACTTTTTTTTTTTCTTTTGGTGGGATTGCAGTTTGAACTCAGGGTTTCACACTTGCAAAGCAAGCACTCTACTGCTTGAACCACACCGCCAGTCCATTTTGTGCTGGTTATTTTGGAGATGGGATCTCATGAAGTGTTTGCCCAGGCTGGCCTCAAGCCTCGATCCTCCTGATCTTAGCCTCCCAAGTAGCTGGGATTACAAGTGTGAGCCACCAGCATCTGGCTCTTAGTATTAGATTAAAGGTGAGACTGAGGCTAGAGCTGGAATGCCTGGCAACACACAGACAGCTATTTGTTAAAGCTGAAATCCGAGCCCACCCTTGTAACCACTCCTCCATCTTTTTATCTGCCTCTTGTGACTGAACCTGACTTGACTTCGTTTTCTTGAAGTTTTCCAGGCCCTGGTGGAGCAGGAAAGCCAGAGATGGACCTCATGAGACTTGCTCGGCTCTTCTCTGGCCCTCGCCCCATGGGACTGTCCATCCACCGATACCTTGACCCCCATGGAGCCCGGTGGACAAGAGATGAGCAGGAACTTGCATGGCTGAGGGCCATGTGGCCAGCTCGGCCAGGGTCACTGTCCTTCAGCAGCTCTTCCTCTCAGCTGCCTCTGGGTCAGAGGAGCCAGAAGAACACAAGCAGCCTCCCTTGTGACCTGAGCCAGCCTGGCCTGCCATCCTCTGAGAAGGACGAGGATGAGGAGCACTTCGGGACCCTCTCCGACAAGTACTCCTCCCGGAGAGTGTTCCGGAAATCCACAGCACAGCTGTATAACCTGCGGCTCTGGCAGCAGAGTGTGGATGGGGATGAAGGGGAACTGGAGCCCAGACCCTGGCAAGGCCGGAGGAACACTCCGTACTGGTACTTCTTTCAGTGCAAGCGCCTGATCAAGGCGGGAAAGGTGAGGTCCCGTGGAGCCCTTCTGCTTTCCTAGTGGGTCAGTATTTTGCGAGGCACCCCCCCTGCCCCAGTTGCTAATGTTGGGGTGCTCACTGCTTGGTCCACAGAGTTTGTCTTTTCCCTGTCCTTTTTTTTTTTTTTTTTGTGGAACTCGGGTTTGAACTCAGGGCCTTGCTAGGCAGGCATTCTACCACTTGAACCAAACCCCCAGTCCTTTTTGCTTTAGTTATTTTTCAGATAGGGTCTTGTGTTTCTTGCCTGGATCAGCTTCTCTAGCTTATAGCCTCCCACATAGCTGGAACGACAGACGTGTGCAACCATGCTGGCTTATTAGTTGAGATGGGGTCTTGTGAACTTTTTGCCCAGGCTGGCCTGGAATGGTGATCCTCCTGATCTTCCCTGCTGAGTATCAAGGATTCCATTGTGCACCATGCCCAGCCCTCTTCCCTATCTTCACACCCCCCTGGTTATCCCCCAGCCTCATGGCTTCAAGCATCCCCCAGTTTTCATGTTCACATCCCCAGCTGTGTATCTTGTGTTTCCAGCTCCTCCTCACCATCTCCCTATGCTTATCCACTTGGGCACTGTCCAGATCCAGCCTTGGTTTTTTTTTTTTTTTTTGGCGGTACTGGGGTTTGAACTCAGGGCCTTACACTTGCTAGGTAGGTGCTTTACACTTGAGCCCCTCCTCCACCGCTTTTTTGTGATTTTTTTTTTTTTTTTTTGAGTTGGGGTCGTGTGAATTATTTGCTGGGGCTGGCTTCGAACCTGGATGCTCCTGATCTCTGCCTCCTGAGTAGCTGAGATGTCAAGCACCCAGCCAACCTTGTTTTCCTTATCTCACCAAGTGGCTGTGCCATCATGCCATTTACCCAGGTCCCTTTCCTCAGGTCACATGTTGTTCTTCTCTTTCTCTTGCCAGCTGTATCTCCAGACCATTGTCAGCCCTAACTACTTTTGTCACCGCGCTTGAGTGCCCCAGGATAGGTCCTCCTTGCCCTCCTCAGCTGCCAAGGACACTTGTCACTGGGCTTACTACTCTTGTTCTCTCCTGCCTTGCCATCTGCTCATGGCACAGAGGCATTCTGGTAAACAGAGTCCAGAGTGTTCATTCTGTGCCCTGCTTCCTCTGTGTTCAGTGACACTGGTGTTCATTTTCCTGTTGGGGGGTGGCTGGTGTCGCGTGCTCAGCTCGCCGAGGCACTGGCTCATTTTTCTAGGAATTAACAATGCGTTGTGTTCACGTATGAACATCTCTTGGAGGTGGGTGCCAGAGACCTATGGATGAGGTTATTGGGTGCCTGGGATTTTCCTTAAAAATGCTGGTTGGTGCCATGGACCAGTGGCTCACGCTTACAATCCCAGCTACTCAGGAGGCAGAGATCAGGAGGATCGCAGTTTGAAGCCAGCCTGGGGCAAGTAGTTCGTGAGACTCTATCTTGAAAAAACCCAACACGTAAAAGGGCTGGTGGAGTGGTTCAAGGTTTAGACCCTGAGTTCAAGCCCCAGCACCACAAAAAAAACGTGCTGGAAGGGGCGTACAGGTTCCAGGTAAAAGAGGACCAGCCAAACATTGGACAGCCATCGTGTTCACACTGTTCTCTCTGCTTTTGTGCACAGTTGGGATTTTCCATAATGAAGAAAATTTTAGACCTAAACAAAAAGAAGCCGCAGTCCTCACAACGGCTTATGAAGCCTACAAGTTCTGCCCCTCTCACACAGCTTCCACCCATCCCTGACCTCGCCATCCTCATCTCCTGCTCTCCCCATCCCTGCAGCCACCTCAGTACCCAGCAGCTCATTCAAGCCCCCGCACTCCTGCCTCAGGACTTTTGCACTGGCTGTTCCATCTCTGCTGAGGCCCTCCTCAGGCCCCTGTTCTATTCTTGTTCCCTGTAGCTGGCCGAGGCCCTGGACCTGTTTGAGAGGCAGATGCTGAAAGAGGAGCAACTTCAGCCGCTTGAGTGCAACTACACCGTGCTGATCGGCGGCTGCGGGCGCGTGGGCTACCTCAAGAAGGCCTTCAGGCTCTACAGCGACGTGAGTGTGGGCGGGGCGCCAGGGCTCTGACGTGTACACGCCCTGTGTGAGCCTGCGCTTCCTAGAGCTTTCACTCTGGGCCGGTGGTCCACCCTCTCTGGTGTCAGACTCACCGTCTCCAAAGTGGCTGTGATCTTGGGGATTAAATGAGGTGATGAGGAGCGACCGTCAGCACTTCCCTGGTCCCCTTTTCTGCTGCCAAGCCCAGCCTGTTTTGTTTCTTTTCACCCCTGCCCCCACACACAGACCTGCACCCTGTTTCCAAAGCTGGTTTTTTGGAAAAGAGCTCTTAGTCTTCCTGGAAGACCACTTGCTTTCTGTTCATTCACCTCTTGGTTGTGTGGTCATCGTCACTATCAGAGCCAGGAAGCTCTTTCATTCATGAGTCAGGAAAGAACCTTGCCGAGGAGGACTGGGGACTCCAGCAGGAGAGAGCTGACTTCTGCAGCCAGAAGCCAGTGGGTCCTCTACTCCATCAGGGGCTCCCATGCACCCCAGTCCTCCTGTCATTTGGAAGAGGGGGAAACAACACTTAGAAGTGATAAGGTGACATCATAACCTTTAAAAGAACTAGTAAACGGTCATAGCCTGGAAGGGCAGGAGCTGCCCAACCAATGAGCCAGCAGAACAGCATTCTGGGTAAAAAGGATTACTTTGCTTTACTAGGAGGTTCTTGGACTCAAGCTGCCCAACCACCTGGAGGCTCAGTGCGTGACTCAGGGCACGTGGCCCTGAGAACTCAAATTGCTGCTGGCTGCTGCATGGGTCAGGGGCCAAAAGAGCACCAGCCTACCCTCTCCTACCAACCCCCAGCAGCATCCTTTCAGGATGTTGGTCTCAAGTCCCAGTTGTCAAGGAGAACCCGCCTGTCCACGGCCCCTCAGTCAGTGAGCCCCACTCTCCCCTCCCAGAGCAGATCTAGTTTGTGGCCTTGGACAGTTGGAATGACCTGCTTGAGCCTGAAGGTGGAGAAATTGGGAAGCCACTGCTACACCTACCCCTGGCTCAGAAAAGGCTGGAGAGTGCCCAGGGAGAATTTGTTTGTGGTACTGGGTTTTGACCTTGGGTCCTCACACTTGCTAGGCAGGCACTCTTACCTTTTGAGCCATGCCTCCGACCTTTTTGCTTTAGTTATTTTGTAGATAGGGTCTCACACTTTTTGCCCAGGCCATCCTTAGGCCCCAGTTCTCCTACCTGTACCTTGAGTAGCTAGGTTTACAGGTGTGCACCATCACACTCAGTGCAAGAAAGGTTTGGCACTTCTGGGATGTGGGCTCAATTGTCAGTATGCCTGCAGTGGAGTCCACTTTGGACACCAGGCTCTGAGGTGCTCCTTGGCTTGGCCTTGGCCTTGGCCTTCGGGCTGGTTGCATGTGGTAACAGACCTCTCTAGGGCCCTCTGGTGGGCGGGGGGAACTGCTCATCCGTGTGCCCAACTGCGGAGGCAGCCCTGTGTCTCTCCCATGTGAGCAGATGAAGAAGAGGGACCTGGAGCCCTCAGATGCCACATACACAGCCCTGTTCAATGTCTGTGCCGAATCCCCCTGGAAGGACTCTGCTCTTCAGAGCGCCCTGAAGCTCCGACAGCAGCTCAGTGCCAGAAACTTCCAGCTCAACCTGAAAACATACCATGCCCTACTGAAGGTGGCTGCCAGGTGTGCAGACCTCAGGATGTGCCTGGATGTGTTCAAGGTGGGGATGCCCTCCCTCTTGCTCCTCCCTTGCGCCCATGGCAGGTGGGAAGTGAGGCTGCCTGGCTCTTCACATGGAAGGTTCAGGAGAAATGAAGCAGCCCATGCTGGGTGCTGGGTTCACATGTGAATCTAACAAGGCCCTGCCGTCAGAGGCCTCGGTCTGACAGACAGTAGGCTGTGGGGCAAAGGACCCTGTGCTGACTGGAGGGGCTGAGAGGCAGAAGGAGGGTCTCAAGGAAGCTGTGAACAGGGGACCAGTGGGAATGAGACTCACTGTGCACAGCACCATGTGGTCATGGGGTTTTGTCCAGATACCCTGGGAAGTACACATGAGGGAACTGAGGCTGCCCTTGTTCCCACCCACTGCTGGCCAGGGTGGGGCTGTGACTTGAAGACACTCTGTGATTGCAGAGCCTCAAGTCCAGGGGGCCAGCGTGGCCATTGGGATGGTCTTTGCAGCGGTGCTGTCCAGACCAGCAGGGCGTGGGACTGGGCAGAGTGGCCTGGAGGCAGCAGGCCCTGCTTCACGGAAGAGCTCGCTCAGAGCCAGCCAAGCACCGTGTTCAGGTGCCCAGCTCCTCCAGACTTAGACACCTGTCCCGGTGAGTCCCGTACCATGTGTCCTGGGCCCTGGCACAGATGCAACAGCAGGACTGCCTTGTTCTCTCCTCAGGAAATCGTCCACAAGGGTCACGCGGTCACTGAGGAGACCTTCAATTTCCTGCTTATGGGTTGTATCCAGGACAAGAAGACAGGCTTCCGGCACGCCCTGCAGGTTGGTGTCAGTGTCATGTGTGTCATTGTGTCCCCCCCAGCCTCCTCTGTATGCCTGCACTTGGGTGCAAACCAGTGGTCCTGGACTGGAGGAGTAGCTCAAGTGGTAAGAGTAACTGCCTAACAAGTGTGAAACCGTGAGTTCAAACCTCAATACCACCAAAACTAAAAAAAAAAAGAAAAAGAAAAGAAAAAAACAGTGGTCCTTGTGTACGTTTCCTGAGTGTCTTCTGCTGCCTGGAGCCAGGCGGTTTTGTATTTGTCATCCTTTGCCTTCCCAGTGGCTGTTGCAGGGCACCCTGCTCCTCTGTTCCACAGACCACAGGTAGAGGAGGCTTGTGGAGGTGCTGAGGTCGCCCCTCCCCTGCTCTGCTGAGTGGCCAGGCCACACCCTCTAAACCCAGTGTGCTGCACCACCCACGTATGGTCAGTAGGGTGTGTGTTCAGCCGTCTCATTCAGCATCTGTAAGTGCAACCCAGCGAAATGAACTTAACCTCAAAGGCTGGACGTGAGCTGGGCACGGTGGCTCACGCCTGTAATCCCAGCTACTCAGGAGGCAGAGATCAGGAGGATCATGGTTCAAAGCCAGCCCAGGCAAATAGTTCATGAGACCCTATCTGGAAGAAACCAAAAAAGGGCTGGAAGAGTGGCTCAAGGTAGGCCCTGAGTTCAAACCCCAGCACTGCAAAAGAAAAAAAAAAAAAAGTTGGACGTACCCCCAGGCGTATTCCCCCTCATCTCACAGGGTGGGTATCAATGTGGACACCATGGCTACTTCTGCATCTTGTCAGAGGGGCCCCTGCATCTCAAAGTGCAGTCCACGGCACCAACAGCCCCATCTGGGCCTCCTGTGGCCAGATCTGCCTTTCGGCAAGTTCCCCGGCCACTTTGCAGAGTGACAGCCGAGGAGCACATGCCCTCTCTGCACAGTTCCCAAAAGCAGTGGCTGGGTGGCCAGCCTCTGGCCCACACAAGTGTCCTTAGAGCAAACAGCACCAAGATACAGCTCTTTCCCCCTCCTTGGCCTAGGTCTCTTCTAGTTAGAAGTGGCCTGTTGTCCTAACAGCCTGTCATTGTCACACACTTGCTGACCTGCCCCTGCTGTGCACCATTTGCCCCATATTTTTCCCATTTTGCAAACAAAGGTTGCTGAGCCTAGGTCACAGAGGTCGGTAACTTGCCAGAGGTCCCATAGCCACCAAAAGCTGGGACTGAGACTTAAGTTTATCTGACACTAGTGCCTGAGTCCTCACTACAACACTCTGCTGCCCTGCCACAGGACAGCATTTGTGTCCCTTTTTTGGGGAAGGAGGGCAGTGCTGGGGCTCTGTGCTTACTAGGTGGGTGCTACCACTTGACTTTCACTCCAGCCCCTTTAGCTTTTTAGGTTATTTTTTGTGAGTCCTGAGGTTTGAACTCAAGAGTGTCACACTTGCTAGGCAAGCGCTCTACCACCTGGCTTGCATTGCGTGTCCTGTATTCCTTGCTTGATGGGTACTAAGACCATTGCCCACCTCCAGACCCTGAGCCAGCAGGCAGTGACCCCTTTGCAAAGTCCACCCGGCTGGGGCCTGTCCTGCCACTCTCTCTGCACACTCATCTGATGAGGCGAGGTGTCAGCCTAGACCCTTCTAGAACCTACCTTTTCTGGCCTTCCCAAGAAACAGAAGGAGAAGGTCAGCAGAGACCTCAGATAGAGGGGCCATGGGAAGAGGACAGAGGGCTGAGACTGTGACAACAGTTTTGGGGTGAGCTCGAAGGAGAGGAAAGAGTCGCTGGACCCTGTCGGGCATACACTTAGTGTCGGAGCCTGGTCTTAGGTCTTAGGTTAGACACTTTGCAGATTCTTCAAATACCCACCCCCCCACACCTTTCTTTTTTTTTTTGGAGATGGTGTCTCACTGTGTGCCCAGGCTAATCTTGACCTCTTAGTCTCAAATACTCTTCCTACTCCACTCTCTGAGTGCCGGTGCTATAAGCCTGCACTACCATGCCCTCCGCTCTTTTTAATTTTGTTTGTACCTGAGATGGAGGGCCTTGCACACGCTTGGCAAACACCTTTCCACTGCACTATAGCTCCAGCCCTCTGGAGCTTGTTGAGTGCTAGTCTGAGTACTGGCTCCAGGCCCAGCCCTGCCTCTGCTAAAGGCCCTGAGGTGAAGCACTGAGCTCATGTTTGTCTCTAACCCACAGGTGTGGAGGCAGATGCTGAGTCTGGGGCTCAAGCCAAGTCGGCATGGTTACAACCTGCTGTTGGGGGCAGCCCGTGACTGTGGCCTTGGGGACCCAGAGGTGGCCTCCAGGTTGCTCCTGAGGCCCCAGGAAGAGATGCTCCTGCTCCAGTCACCAGCAAGCAGGTGGAGGGCAGGGAGCAGGGGCCAGCCCAGATCAGGTGATGGTGTGTCAGCCACACTGCATGTGGAGGTCCTGGAAAGGCAGCTGTTTCTGGAACCCTCTCAGGAACTTGAGGAGCCTCCTGAGGCCAGATTACCTACCAAGGCCCACATTAATGTGGGAACTGAGCCAAAGCCTGGCCACACGGCAGCCCTCACCCCACTGGCCATGAAGCCACCTCCCTTGGAGCTGGACGTCAACCTCCTGGCCCTTGGGACTGTCTCCCCTACTGTGGTCTCCTTTGGGACAGTGGCCACCCCAGCTGACAGGCTGGCCTTGATGGGAGGCCTAGAAGGCTTCCTGGGCAAGATGGTGGAGCATGGTCTCCACCCAGACATCAAAACCCTCACCCTGCTGGCCGAGGTTGTGGAGCCCGGGAGCCCTGCGGAAACCTCACTGCTGGCCGCCCTGGACAGGTACCAGGTGGAGGCTGATGTGACCTTCTTCAACACACTGATGAGGAAGAAGAGCAAGCTGGGAGACCTGGAGGGGGCGAAGGTAAGGAGCTTGGGGCAGCGCAGGCCCTGGGCTCTCCACAAGATCCCTCCTCCTTTCCCTCTCTGGACCTCAGGCTGGAACCTGGCTCTGGAGCTGTGCTAGGCCCGGCCCCGGTGAATCTGGAAGTTGAGCCACAGACAAGCCAGACGCACCCCTGCCCTCCTGGAGCTCATGGGCTGTGGGAAGGGAGACGCCAAGTGTGTCATTTCCCTGATGGCCGTGGGGATACAAGACTGGCAGAACTGTGAGATCAGAGCCATGGGGCCACTCGGCCAGGCTTGAGACACACCTGTGAGGCAGCCTCTGACAGCTCCAGCGACACCTGAGCGTCCTCACCCTCGTGGCCTGCTCTGACACTGTGCTTCTGTGCTGTCACTCTTCTCCTGTCCTTTTGTTCCCTTCCTGATTGCGGGGAGGCACTGCCAGCAAGGGCATTCCCATCTCACAGGTGGTGATGCTGGGTTTTTTGGTTTCTTTTTGCAGTCTGGGGCTTGAAATCAGGGCCTACACTTTGAGCCAGTCCACCAGCTCTTTTTGTGTTAAGTGTTTTCAAGATAGCATCTCCTGAACCATTTGCGAAGGCTGGCTTTGAACTGCGATCCTCCTGATTGCTGCCTCCCGAGTAGCTAGGGTTGCAGGCGTGACCACCGGGTTCTGGGTTCTTGATAGGGCTTTGCTCGCCTATATGGCCAGTTTTTATATAGTGCTTGCTTTGATGGCACTGCCGTGGGCACCTGGAGGATCAAAGTGACAGAGACATGGCACATGCCTTCAGGTCCGCAGTGCAGAGCACAGGCTAAACCTGACAGCTTTCCCCAGGGGCCTCCCTGACACAGCCAGCCCAAGGAGGCGGCTCCTTTCCTTCTGACTCCAGTCTCCCTTGGTGAGCACTTCCCACTCTGGGTCCACATTGCCTCCCACTCTAGACCTAGGGCACCTGGGTGAAGAATGAGAGCATTCCTGGAGAGGCGATGTGCTGGGAGACGGGTCCCCAGGAAAGCTGGACAGGACTTGGACCTTGAGTACTGAGTTAACAAGGGAGCCAGACCTGTGACCCTGGGGTCCCCCGCATCCAGCCGAGCGCTGCACCAGAAGGCTTCACCCAGGGTGGTGGGTCACAGGTTATAGTGACATATCTGCCCTAACAGGCGCTGTTGCCAGTCCTGGCAAAAAGGGGGATTGTTCCCAACCTGCAGACATTCTGCAACCTGGCCATTGGGTGCCGCAGCCCTAGGGATGGACTGCAGCTGCTGGCGGACATGAAGGTACAGGGCCTGGGCCCCAACATCCGAGTGTGGGAGGTGTGTCCAGAGCAGCCATGGGTTAGAAGCCCTGGGCTCAGCCCTGACCTGTTCTGATATGCCCCGACCCCAGCAAGGGTGCTTTCTGAGAACCAGGTTGTTTGTGTACCCCACGTTGTGTCACCAACCAATGCCGGCTGCTCTGGGCTGACTACCACGTACTGGTGATGACCTGGTCAGCAGTCAGTAGCCCAGTGGGAGGGGTAGAGCCTTGTGTTGGTCTCAGCAGTAGAGGCCTCTTTCCCACGTCTTCAGGGCTGTGGGGACAGTGCATGCCTGCTGTCCTTGTGGAGGGGGGAGGACAACCGTGTGTTGCCATAGGTTCTGCCCCTTGTCCCTGCTGGCTGGTTTCTAGAGTAGACCTGTCTGATAGGGCAGCTCCCCAAGCTGTACATGCTATAGCAGGCCGCCTTGTCCCAACCCCTGCCATCATATCGCTGACTGTGATGTCCTGACTTTCCAGAAGTCTCAGCTGAACCCCAACACCCACATCTACAGTACGCTCATCAACGCGGCCATCAAGAAGCTGGACTACGCCTACCTCATCGACATCTTGAAAGACATGCTGCAGAGCAGAGTCCCTGTGAACGAGGTGGTCATCCGCCAGCTGGAGTTTGCTGCTGAGTACCCTCCCACCTTTGACCGTGTACGTCACAAGGCTCTGCAGCGCTCGGCACCTCCTTGGCTGCGGCCACCCTGGCTCTGGCCTCTAGGGATGGCACTCTTTCCCTGGCTGACAGCTGCCCACCTGCTTCCCTCAGAGAAAGTGCAGAGTCCTCAGACCACAGCCCTGAGGTGCTAGCCACCACGCCCTAGTCTGCATGGCACATTCCCCGTCCCGGGCCCATCTTCCCTTGGGTGACTGACAACCCTTTGGCATTTTTATTCTCCTGGGCTCCTCCTCTGCCTCCATAGTCCTTTCTCAGAGGTTCCCCGCTACCTCCTCCCCCATGATCTGGAGCCCATTCCTTCCTTATGGCTTAACCTGAGATTGCGATTGCACGCGTGCTGTCATCTCCACTGAACCACAGGCTTTGGGAGGTGGAGACTGCCTAGCTCGCCCGGGTCCCTGATGCCTAGACTGCTATCTCAGGTGTATGGGCTGCAGGACAGCAGGGCAATGGCACCTGTCACGCAGCTGCTCTGAGGTGAGGCTGCAGCACTTGCTCTTAGGGTCTGTTGAGTCAAATCCAGTGCTGAGTCTCCAGAGCATCCAGGGCCACTTTGGCCAGGAAGGACAGTGAGTGGGCAAGGGCACACAGCCCAGGGGTAGGGCTCAGGGATGGGTTGCAGGTGTGACACTTGAGTGCCCTTTTGGAGGGTGACTAGAAATGAGTGGGACCACGGGGCAGGTATGCCGGGCAGGGTCATGGGGGCTCTGTGGACGCTTCTCACTGACTCAGCTGCAAGGGTCTTCTGGTTAGTGGACTTCCTCTTCACTCTGGGGTGGAGGGCCCACTGCTAGGGGGCCTCTGAGGGTGAACACAACAGCCACAAGACCCCAGACCTAAAGCTCACGTTCAGATCATATGCTCGGGGCTGGGGGTGAGTCGGCGGTAGAGCACTTGCCTAGCGCTGACTGAAGCCCTGGCCCCATTCCCAGCACCGCACACCACACCCCATCCCTGTGATTCTGTCGAACTTTGCTTTGTGTGTAATTCCAAGCTCTGTTAGGTCTGCTGAGGTTTGGAATTGCTAACTCTTCTGAATCAAACTTTTTATCCTACAGACTTTATCTCTGATCCTACTCTGTATCTTGTTTCTCCTTTTACGCACACCTCCCACCCCCACCACGGAGACAGCTGCAGCGGGCCAGGAGGCGGCGGTTGTGCTGAGGGAGGTGCTGAGGATTCAGTACTTGGTTAATTGTAGTTCTGGGGCTACTTCTGTGGGGCAAGGAGCACTAAGTGCACAAGCAGATAGGGTGTGGCCTATCCCATGGTATGGCCACTTTGCCTGGAACCTGGTTGTGAACAGCAGAGCCTCTCACACTGACTGTTAACAGGTTTTCTGCCCTGTCCCCTATAGCCTCCTGGGAGGACAGGGACCAGCGTCCCAAGGCCTGAGCCAGCTGCTGGGGTGTGGAATTGGCTGTAGGTAACATGCATTGACCCTGAGTGTCAGTTTTTCCTGACCCATATGCTTTTCCTGTTACAGTACAAAGGGAAGAACACCTACTTGGAGAAGATCGATGGCTTCCGAGCTTATTATAAGCAGTGGTTGAAAGTGATGCCCGCAGAGGAAACCCCCCACCCCTGGCAGGAGTTCCGGACTAAGCCCAAGGGGAACCGAGACACCATCGGGGATGCTGGTGTCAACGGAGGCCATGGGAGCAGGTGATGGGGGACACAGCTGAACAAGTATGCAGCCCTCACAGGGCCTGGCAGGAGCCCCAGGAGTTCCTATCATATTGAAGATGAGTGAGTGTGCTGGTGTCACCGTCCCAGAAGAGCAACAGTATTTTGCAGTGCTGTCACTGGCATGTGACAACCGCTAGGCCCAGTGTGTCTGCATCTATAGCCAGTGAAGAATAGGTCGTGGGCATCTCGGGTCACCCTCACTTGAGAGGCTGTCACCCCATCGCTGACAAGGACAGTACACTTGCTCACGGTCACACCACACCTGTGTGTGCTTTCTGGGCCCTGCTACTCAGGAAGAGCTGAGCAGGGCAGGAGGCCTAAGGGTTTTATTGTTACAGATCACAGCTGGTGAACACAAAGCCTTCACCTGTAGAGGCCATGCTCCAACTTGGGCCTGAGCACTCCTCTGACGAGAGCTGCTCCCAGGAAGGGGCATGGTCGGCAGGAACCTGCAGGTCCAGAGTCCAGGGCACAGAACATCCAGGCCTTGCCTCAGCCAGAGCAGCCCCGGCAGCCACAGTGTGTGCACTCAATGATACGACCCTGCAATCAACAACACCGAGATGCTGTGCCCGCCACTGCACCCCTGTGCCCCCATGGGACCTCCTGTGGGAACAGTGAGAGGGACAGCCCCTGTAAGACACTGCTCAGAAGCCCTTATTTGACAGTTCCAAGGGAATTTCAGTTCCCTTTGAAGTTGCGTGTGTGTGTGCGTTTAATTTATGCAAACCCCAACATATATACTTGCCAAAAAAAGAAAGAAATCTGCGTGAATAACTTCCTCTCTACCAGAGCTGAGGTGGGCACACTACTACTTGGGTCAGTGCCAGGAGCCTCAGGGCCACTTGCTAGTGGGGACACTGGACAGAAGGGGGTGCACTTGGGTCCCTATGGCCTATGGCAGTCCTGTCCGCAGGCCCAGAGTCTGGCTGGGGAGGCCCTAGCTGCAGTTTGGGTTTACTTTTTCTAAGTGTTCTTGGAGGAGCAGGACCTTAGTGAAAGCAGATAAGCCCTGGGGTGAGACCCGGCTAACCCTGCAGCAGCACTGCCCCTCACCCTGACCCCTGTATAGTTCTAAGGCTCCCAGGAGGGGGGTCTTGCTGCTCTGCCACTCCCTGCCTGCCTTATCAGAACGCTGACACCCACAGCCCTCTCGGGAGGCAGCCCTGCTTGCCCGCCACTGTCCAGTACACTGCGTGGCTTGGACACACGGGCTGCCTGCACAATGGACAGTCCTGCGCAGCGAGCCAGGCTATGAGCGAACTCTCTCTGTGGTATAAAGGGCCCTGTGGGATGAAGGAGGGACAGCTGGCAGGCTTCCGGTGACAGACTATATCCCAGATACTGCTGGAGTGCACTAGGGCAGGGTGTGAGCAGAAGGTAACACCATTACCACTTCCAGCTTGCTTTTGGGAACCCGGCAAATGCAGTTGGTCCCAAAGTTGGTGTCCCGGGTCTGAATACAGCGCAGGCAGCACAGGTTCTCATAGCCCTGCTTCTTCCACTTTGCGATCAGGTTCTTGTCTGCATAGCCTTCTTTAATGCAGTACTCGTAGAGTTCTGTCAGCAAGAGGACGGCATCAGACTGAGCATATAAATCCATCCCCATCCCCAACTGAAAAGCTCACTCCCTGTGTTACTGCAAGATCCCTGAGGCTTGTTGGAGCTGCAAGAGTAAGAGTCATGACTTGAATAGCCCGGCAGCTGTCAGTTACCTCTGCTTATGGCTTTGCGCTTGTAAAAGAGATCGAAGATGTAGCGGGTTTTCTGGTGGTGGATCCTGAAGATGGGCCACAGAGACTCCACCTTCCTCTTTCCTTCATGGGGCTCTGTTTCGGCTGGGCAGGAAAAAATATGAATTTGTTAGGGAGAAGAGTCTTCCTGCACGAGATCAAGTTGGTCTTTGTTTTTCTTTCTGAGACACAGTCGGGTTGGGGATATAGGTCAGTGGTTGAGGCCTTGAGTTTAATCCTCAGCATTGGGGCAGGGAATTAAAAAAGAAAAATAAAAAGCCAGAGACAGCATCTTGCTATGTAACACAGACTCGCCTTGAACTCTAGAACCTCCTGTTTCAGGAGATCAGGCGTGTTCAGGGTGGTATGGCCATAGATGAACCTCCTGTTTCAGCCTCCCAAATTCTGGGATTACAGGCATTCACAGATAACGAATACCACTTTATACCCACTAGGATGGCTATAAACAAAGTGATGAACAAGTAACCAGAGTTGGTGGGCATGTGGCGAAACTGGAATCCTTGCACACTGCTGGTGGGAATGTACACACTGGTGCAGCAAACAGGAGGGTAAATAAAAGTGCAGCCACAGCATGATCCAGCAGTTCTATCCTAGGCATATATCAAAGAGCATTGAAAATACGTACACACAGACTTGTATGTTCATAGAAGCAAGTGAAACAACCCAAATGTCCACCAGCAGGTAACAGATGAAGACTGGTCTGCCCGCGGGACAGCGTATCATTCAGCCATAAGGCATGAAGACCTTAGCCCACTGTGCTGATGGCTGTGCAGCTCTGAATACACTAAGCATCCCTCAACGGGCTGCTTCCAAAGGGAAAATCTGGCATTGTGATTTAGATATTTATTTTTTATTTTACCTAGTTATTTTTTGTGGTACTGGGTTTGAACTCAGGGTCTACACCTTGAGCCATTCCGCCAGCTCTTTTCTGTTAAGAGTTTTTTCAAGATAGGGTCTCTCAAACTATTTACTTCCAACCTCGATCCTCCTGATTTCTGCCTCCTTAGTAGCTAGAATTATAGGCGTGAGCTACTGGCACCACCATTTTAAAAAAATTAAATGACTTGAACGTAGCTGTTTTAGATGCCTCTTTAATTAGGTGAATTAGAGAAACATTTTTTTTTTAAATCCTTCAACAATAAGGAGGATTAACACTCTGGCCTCTATTTCTACAGGATGCTAATTTCTCAAGATAATCTTGGGCAGCCAGACACAGTGGGTGCTGCACCCCTGTAATCCCAGCACTCGAGGCTAAGCAGGAAAATCCCAAGTTTGAGGCCAGCCAGGGCTACACACAGCTAGTTCCAGGCTAGCCTGGGCTGCATAGTGAGACCCAGTCTCAAAAACCAGAACCAAGAAAGATAAATATGGCTGCAGAGAGGTGCATTCTAACCATCTCTAACTTCATTTCCCAGCCCAAATCCCTTTGAGCTGAGGAAGGAGAGAACCAAATGGCCAGTGTGACAGCACAGCAGGAGGTGGAAGACACCCTCCTTCAATGCACACAGGATCAGATGGAATCTGAGAAGACTCTGAGGATCTCTCTGCTCTTCCGTGGATGCACACAGGTTGCACACCTACTTCCCATTGTTCTGACTCCTGTAACCAGGAGCCCAAATAGATGGTGGATGATGGCAGATACCTGACTTTAGTGCTGGGAACAGTAGGAAGCTCTGGGGATACAGTAGATGGGGAGGAGCAGAAGGTGGATCCTAGAGCCCAATCTACCATGTAGGATACAGGCTCAGCACTGCCACTTTAGAAGCAAAGTTTTAAAGAACTGCAAAGGAGTAAGGCCTTACAGAATAATAGAGAAAAGAAGCAGTGAGGGTTGTGCATCTCCACCTGAGTGCCCAACACACCTGATCCCATTTTCTGTCTGTCTGTCTATCCTGTCTTTTCTGAATCTCCAGTCGCCCCCAGTTAGTCCCAGTTAGGTTCATGGAGTGAAAAAAAGCTTGCTCCATGGAACCTTTGCCCAGCCACCCTGACAGGAGTGTCCCCATTCACCTTCTCTCATCTTTTGGTCCAACTCATCCAGTGTTGGCTCGATCAACTCCCAGCCATCTGGGGGTGCTTTCCGGCTTCTTTTTACTTTAGGCATTTTTATCCGACAAGATAATCTGCAAAGATCTGGAGGAAAAATATTGAAGTGGTTTTTGAGTCTCAGTTTACCAAAGACAAGTGACTTGTGCAGACTGCTTTGGTACATGTTCACTTACTTGAACAGCACTGGGCAGTAGCAATAGGAAGGGGCTCAGCATCCAGACTGCATGGGTTCAAATCCTGGTTCTGCTACTTACCCATAAGAAACTACCTAAACTTCCCTAAATCAGTTTTCTCATCTATAAAAGAAGGATAATAGAATCTACCTTGTGGGGTTGTTGTGGAGAATTAATTACAATTAATGTCATAATGTATTAGGCTTGGTGTATTACACAAGCTTAATAGATATTTATGCTGTTACTAAGTAACAGCAAGTCCATCCTGGCCCTGCCAGGATGATATTGATATTGAGAACACAATATTGTGATATTGAGAACACAAGGAATCAGGACACAGCTTCTTAAGGAGGTAACATTTTGTAAGGAGGCAGCCAAGTGGAAACACTTACAATACTGTGTGAGGAAGACTGCAATTGAAAGAGACGAGGAAAGAGTCACAGTACCTTAGACTCCCTCTCTTTCCTAAGAGTATGATAGACTTCTGTGCTGTCCGCAGCTACAGGGGTGAATTTTTGTCCAGCTATACCAATTATTCTGCGACTCTGGACAGATCACTTCCCCTCTTTGGTCCTCTGTCTCATCTGTAAAATGAGGGCAATAGATTACTGAATTGCCAAAGTCCCTTTTGGGTTGTTTTGTTGATACTGGGGTTTGAACTCAGGGCCTCATACTTGCTAGACTGGTGCTCTACCACTTGAGCCATTCCACCAGCCCTATTTTGTGCTGGGTTTTTTCAAGATAGTCTCTAGAACTATTTGCCTGGGCTGGCCTCGAACCGTGATCCTCCCATCTCTGCCTCTTGAGTAGCTAGGGTTACAGACGTGAGCCACCAACGTGTTTCATATGGTCAGGCAAAGCCCAAACAGTCAGCCAGTCCAAATCTAAATGGCAAAGCACTTTTCAAATCATACACCATTTCCTATCGACAAAGAGAACTCAGATGATCTCTTTTCTTTTAAGCTCAACAGACTCATGTCTCCCAAATCCATGTAGTTTCATGGTAAGATGCCTGATACTTTCCATGTTACTTATTTACTTTGGTGGCACTGGGGTTTGAACTCAGGGCTTCACATCTGTTAGGCAGATGCTCTACCACGAGCCATTCCACAGCCCCGCCTGACACTTTCCAATACTGCCCACCCCCCAAGACTCTTTACAGAGGAGGACTCAGACTCCAAGGGGTAAGGTCAGAGTCGCACAGGGGAACTGGGAGTCTGGTTAGGGACTTCTTTTATCCCAAATTGGTTAGAGAAGGATGGAACCTAGGACAAGACAACTACTTTCCTCCGACCCAGGGAGATCCGACGGCCCTGGCCTATTCTGGGATGCTCTCGGGGAAGTTTGCAAAAGTAGGAGGTAAACCGAGGAAAGCGGGGCGGCAGACTGAGTTAGGGGCGCTGGGGGAAAGAGGCGAGGGCGAGGTAAGGAAGAGCCACAACCAGGTTGGCAGGGAAGGCTCATGAAGACAGCACCTAAACTGGGCTTAGAAAAACAAGCAGTGTTTTTACATAGAAAACTGTCTTGGCAGAGAAAACGGCGTGAAAAGAAGCCAAGAAACAACCCAAAACACCCCACATCTACCATACCCTCGGCATAACGAAAAAGGCGCCAACTCCTCTCAGGGACTTCGGCCGCTCAGATCGCCCTCCCCGGCAATGCAGACCACTAGTCCAGGCCCCGGCCGTTGCCACGGTACAGCACCGGAGAATAGAAGGAAGACACTCACCGGAAGCCCAGGAGCTAAAGACCGCCGCTTCTTTACTGACGGCTTCCGCTCTTCAGGGCTCCCTTGCAAATAAGGTCCTCGCGGAGCCCCGCCCCTCCTGACGCAGGATTGCGTCACTTTAGGTGTCTACAGCGCTGCCTGTATAGAATTCCGAATCCGCGGTAACCCTCAATTCTGGGGACGGGTGGCCTGCAGGGCTACGTGTCTCTCAAGACGGGGACACTGGGGGCGCTGTTGCCTGGCAGCGCACGGGGCGGGGGGGGCCTGGAATCAGGCGACTCGTGGGACAGTCCGGCTTCGTGAGCCGACCTCGGTGAGGCCCGACGGTCCTCGCAGCGACTGCGGCGGCGGCGCGCGGAGAGGACTGGGCCGGGCGGAAGAAGTCGAGCCCAAGGCATTTCCGGTTCCGGTGTCAGTTCGAGGCGCCGCCGCCGCCGCCGCCGCCGCCGCCGCCGCCGTCGTCTCCAGAGCCGCGATGCCTAAAGGAGGTGAGGGCCTGGCGGGGTGTGGTCTATGGACTTGAAGGGGTGACCCGGGTCCGGTTCTTACTGTCCCTTCGGTTCGCGGGCGTCTCGGAGAGCGGCGTAGCGGGAGGCCGTCCGTGCCGATGGAGGACCAGGCGTGGGCCTCGACGCCCAATTGTCCCAGTTGAGGAAACTGAGTCTAGAGCCATTTGGTTGGGGGTGTGAGGAGAGTCAGAGACCCCAGGTTGTCCCCGGCGCGGAAACCGGGCCGCGGCGCCTCTTCTCCAAGCCTTGGGGAGGGAAGGGGGACTGAAGTTTCCTCCCACTTCTAGGCTAGCGGGAGACCGAGTCACCGCGTCCCATGCTGGTGTCCGGCCCGCCTGCCTCCCGAGTACAGGGTGGGCTTTCTCGAGCCGCAGCTCAGCCTCGCCTGCCCCGTAAGACTTCACGTAATGCTGCGCAGCCTGGCAGACCTGGCTTTGACTTCCCGACTGGGTTAGCAGCGCAGGGTGGCGTGCCTTGGAGACGGTCGCATAACTCCCTTTGTGTCTCCGTTTTCTTAACCTGCATTTGGGGACAGTGATTATGTCTACCTCACAGTGCTGGGGCGAGGTGATCCACGTAGAGAGCGCTCAGTCCCGTGCCAGGCCGTCTCTAAGTGCCCAGGAAGCATTAGCTGTTATTGTTTGTAGGATTTTGCCAGACGCAGAACGGTCATGGTTTCCCAGCACATCGGAGTCCAACTCTCATCCTCTTTTCCTTTTAGAACCAATAGCCCCGCGTTTGGATCCCAGGTGTCCATCTGGAATACTGGGGTAACAGTCCTTGCCTTGGGGAGCTGGGGAGCGGAATTTTAAAGCGATAGAGCACTTAGAATACTTGGCTAGGTCCTGGCACAGAACAGCTGTTCAGTTAATATCGGTAGTTCACGTGTGGTGCTAGTTAATGCACTCAGCCTACAGGAACATCTGCCTGGGGCTTTTTTCAAATCCACATTGCTTCCTGACTCTACACCCAGAGATCTGAGGCTTTACAGAACTGAATCTATTTAAACCAAGCTCTACGACATCTTCTGCAACTGGGAGAGCCACGTCTTGTGTGCTCCATAGTCCCTTCCTCTGGAAAAGGCATGGGGCTGTCAAACAAGCCTTTCCAGCACCAGAATTGACTCCAAGATTGGAAGTTACAATTACAAAAGTTTAAGTATAATCCGTGGCTAAATGACTTGGTCTTTTGGTGTGTGGAAATCTTTATAGGCAAACAAGGTTTTCTGCCTTGGGTTGATTTGGTCAGAAAGCACAAGAAAACTTGAAGGTGTTAGAAAGAGTGAAATTCCCCAAGAGCAGAGGACCAACTTTGTTTCTTGAGGTCTGCAAGGCTCAGATAAAAGCTACTATAGACCTGAGGGCAGTGTTCCAGGAGCCAAGTGTGGGGGGATGAGAGTCTGTAGCATCCAGTGTTTAGTTGTTCTCATTGTCCGGAATATTATGGTAAGAACGGGTGGGTTTTTTTCAATGGCAATCTTGGTCTCACAATAGACCTTTCATGGGCATGGACTTAGATGCCCCTGGGAGCCCAAGTAGTCATTAAAAATGGGTGGTGTGGGCCATAGCAGCCCAATTAGGGCTGTGCAGCTGTTGTCTAGGAAATCAGAGGAGGCTGGTTATCTCTGCCACTGTCTAGAGCCAAGAGTTGCTCTGGCTGGCTAATTACAGGTTCTGCACAGCAAGGGACCCTCTGAAAGTCAAATGGAGCTTCCAGGACAGGTCTTGTGATGGGTCAGAGGCCACAGCCACATCTGCATCCTTCTGGGTTTACCGGGGGTGCCACCCTGCTGTAAAATTGACTGATGGATTTAGCCAGTCTCTGTGCTGTGCACCACTCCTTATGTCCTCCCCGGAGGTCTTGTTCGTGGGAACCTACATCTACACAGGGATGCACCAGGTGTCATGAGTTGCTCCTGTGTCCTTTGAACACACAAGGGTGGGTTTGGGTGGTGCTTGGTGAGAGCACCCCGGGGGACATCCTCAGGTCAGGGTAGTCCAGGCAGCTGCTTCCCTCTCCATTTCCTGAACAACTGATCCTTGTGCAGGGAGAAAGGGAGGCCACAAAGGCCGGGCAAGGCAGTACACGAGCCCTGAGGAGATCGATGCCCAGCTCCAGGCTGAAGAGCAGAAGGCCAGGGTGAGTACAAGCCTGTCCAGCCACTCTCGTGGCCCAGGGTGATGACTTGACTGTTTGGCTTCCAGAGAGGTCAGGTAAGGACTTCTCTTCTCAATATGAAGCCAGCTTATAGGTGGTGGGGAGGGTACCAGATCACAGGTGCAAGGCCCAGAACAAGCCAGCACTGTCAGGGCCATCCTGAGGCTGGCTCAGTTAGGAAGGATTTTGCCCACTTATCAGCACTTACCTGTGGGTCTCTACTTGGTCCGGGGCACTGCTGTTCTCCTGCACTCGAGTTTCCAGCAGCCCCACCAGTCCACCAGAGCCACGTGGACAGTATGCCACCTGCCTTCCTGTATCCCCAGAGTCCCATTTGTTATTCC